CTACCCTCACGGACAGCCTTCTCCGCCGTACGGTCAAGGTTCTTCCGCAAGTCGGTGAGTTCTTGCTGTGCCTTGGTGGCGGCCTTTTCAGACCGCGCGAGCTTCTCTTCCAAAGCCGCAATCTGCTCCTTTTCGGAAGACGTGCCGCTGGTCTGGCGATCAACTTGTGCGCGTAGCTTTGATATTTCAATCTCCATCGACTCGATCGTGGCGGTCTTGGAGGCAAGCTGAGCCTCGAGTTCGGCAGGGGGAGAAGACATCGATACCGAAGGCGATGATCCGTGGCGGCCGCCTGCGCGAGAGGCTTGTTGCTGGAGCTGAGAGTTCTGGCGCTGAAGGGCCTCGATTTCGGACTTCTATTTAGCAGTTTGTTAGCAGCCCTTTCAGTAAGGCATGATCTTAAGTTGTGATGCTTACTAGGTTTTCGACTTGGCCGTCCGATCCGCCCTTGCTCTCGCCCTCGGTTTCACGCAGATCAGCCAGCTCCTCCTCGGCCTTCTTCCACCTCCTTTCTGCATCGGTGGAGTCCTTGGCTAGACGCTTGTTCTCCTTCTCGAGCTCCTCTATGCGAGCATGTTGCTTACGGTAGATATCGGTGGCAGTCTCGCCTTCAGGACCCTCCGCGCTGGGCGATAGAGGGCCGTTGCCGGCGGAGACGGACCCTTGTCGAAAGGACGCAGAGCGGAGCTTCGACTGTTGAGCTAGTGAAGGCTGAGACGCGGTAGGTGATCCTGGCTGTTCCGCGACAGCTTCCGCGGCTTCCTGCTCGTTTTCTTTTGTGTCTTCGGTGGCAGGGTCGGCGGGCGTCGTGGGTTCGGCTTCGGCGTCCTTTTCTTTGGAGGCGCTGGGTTCTGCCGCTGTTGGCTCAACCTTTTCCTTCTTCGATGAGCCGGCAGCCTTTTTTGTTTTCTTCTTCTTCAACTCTTCCACCTAGCAAGCTGTGAGTAATAGACCAGTGGTCGCACCCTGAGTAAACCTACCCTCTTTCTGGCGGCGGCCAGCTTTTCGGCCTTGGCCTTCTCCTCGGCGTCGGCCATGATGGAGGCGACCGGATTCGATTGTGTCGTGAAGAGAAATGGAGCGAATCGTGGAGGTCGTCGCAAAGGCTAGGGCGAAGACGTAGATGTCGTGGGAAGATTGAGTGCGGAATGTAAGGATGGATTTTGGGTGTGAATTGAATGCTTCAGCCTCGAGCCCAGGAGCTTAGCTGTCCACTCGTGTTAGGAACCAGCCACATTCCACCTGCACTCATCCGTAGTGTTTGTGGTTGACAGGGGGCCACCCCCCAATGACGAAGCCAGGCGCAACTGCTGGGCGTGGAGTGTGCTAAACATACAGGGGCCACCCCCTCCTGTTCTGATGAACTCCCTTCTTGCCTTTTGGACGACGTCGAATATTGCTTCAACCTCCAACACCTTAATTCAACTGTGATGAGATCCGACTTCACTGGCAGCCATCTTACTCGTTCAGTGAAGATGACTTTGCTGCAATATTGGCCCATCTAGAGTATGGAGCTACCACAGATAACCTACCTTTACAGCAGCACCTAGGCATCAACAAGACTAACATCGTCTCGCCACTGGTGATTAGCAGGATGCAATCATTGCTCCGAGTCAATCAACATGTCGTTCATGCCATTCTTATGGATCCTATCGAATGAGAAGATGAATACATCGAAACAACAAATAGCAAAAAGTCAACATATCTCCAAGCGGGCCTGCTGCCGTCTGACCGACGCGACGAACACCCTCCATCCCCCTGCACATCCTTTGGCCCACCCGTCCGTCGTCTTTTAATGCGTTGGCGCCTTACATCGCCCTCTCAGTGTCCCAATCGCTCAAACCTTTGCTCTCGGGCACCACCTGATTGGCAAAGTCTCCCTCGTTTCAACTGCGCTGATGTCCAGTTGGCACCGGCCCAGCGTCCGAAATGGATGCAAGTTGCATCTCGACCCCCAGTGACAAGACCCTGTCGTGCCTGTCTACCTGCCAGCGCGGGAACGCATCGAGCCAGGGGGCAAGGGGGGTTAGAGGGGGGTGAACGTCTCGTTCGCTCTTTCGTTCCTATGAAGGACGTCCGCCCTGCTCTACAAGGAACGACATAGCTTATTCAAGATGATTGGAGGTGCCGCGGTAACAAACGACCCGAGCACAATCATGCAGCTCAAACATTAAAGCATGTTGAGAGCTGACATATTCTCCAGAACATGTCCTCCTCAACTCCCGTCCACCCTCTCAGCTTGTGCTGGAGGAAGGGAACAGAGAAACGACGGCAAGGTGCCATGGGGCAGTGTGTATCCAGCAGCAATGCCGGCGCTGGTAGCAGCGATGCCGAGAGGTCTGACGCTCGCTGTCAAACTCCCGGCTGCCAGAGACTCTGCGATCCAGGGTCCAGATCACGATACTGCGCTCAGCATGCCGTCTGTAGACGGCAGGGATGCGCAAGGCCTCGATACCGCAAGGGCCCATATTGTCAGGAACACCTGTGTAAGTGTTCCACCAGGCTGCCTCGGCCCCTCAACAACGTACGAGTTCTCTCTGACTTCAAGACCAGATACGTGTCGAGTCTCCAGGTGTCCTAATAGCCAAGTCAGACTTGACGATGCGCGATTCACCAACCATTTATGCTGGGACCACCAACCCACCGAAGTGCAGGATGCGTACCTGCTCGGATACATGTTTGGCGGAGAAGATGCCCACGCGACAAACGCGAACGAGCCTCAGCAACAACAGCAACAACGCAGCAGGCGCAGGCGCTCTCGCCAGAAGCCAAAGTCCACTTCGGCCGGAATGCAACCTGCAATCGTAGCCGAACCTCGAGAGCAGGCGTCCGAAGATCCCGCGTCAAGCTCAGATGATGACGATGTTGTAGCCACAGCTCATCAGCTCTCAACTATTGGGGAGGAACCGGAAAGAGAGGACGTCGTGCGCTCAATGCGGAAACCTCGACAGGAGAACCCAGAAACAGCGCCGGGAACACCAATCGCTCGTCGCAGCCAGAAGACGGTTCACTTCGCGGACCCTCCCCCTCGAGCCTCCGCCACCGAGAACCCCTCCATGGAGACGGCGGCGGCAGAAGCCTGGGTAGCCGAGCCCCTTTCCTCGCCCACAGCAGCCCGCCTCCGAACCTCCCATCACCGGCGAAGCCTAGACGGACGGTCCGGAAATCGGTCATCGCCAAGGACATCTGGCAATCTCGCCGCCCCGACTGCAAATAACCGCGAGAGGCGTCACAGCACCGGCAGTGCCCCAAAGTCAGCCGACGTCAAGCGGGCGACGAGAACAAGGGCCAGTCGCTGAATCCTGTCCCTTGGGGACGAACAGGACGGGGTCACAGAGGGGCCCTTGCAAATGCTGCACGAACCAAGCTTCGACATTGCGTCACAGCAAAGTCCCATGACACATTTCTCCCACCATATATCCCCTCGTTTCTTTATCGTCAATGGTCATACGAGCCCGCTTTCCTATCACATTTCTTTGAAAATGGCCCCGGTAATCTCTTGGGTGGGGGTCCCATCTGGATGCAGACGCGCAAAGATAGGTAATGGTGCTAAAAAATACAGCGTAATTATCTCTCAACGGGCGGTAGAAGAGTTCCACCTCTGAGCGTCGGGCACGGCATTTGGCGGGGTAATGGCGGGGTACGGGCGCGAACAGGGTGCCCAGGTGCTGCAAACTACCTCACGCTGAACCACTGGACCACCACCACCATCACTACTGCCGCAAGCCCACAAGCCCGCGCCAAACCGCCCGCCTAGGTACTAACCAAAGCCTCGCCGTCTCTCTTCCTTCCCGTCCCTCCCTCTTCACCTTACTTGCTGATCTTCTACCCAATTCTGTCGCAACTCTCTACTTTACTCAATTCCCTCTCTCGGCATAAGATCGTCTCAGTCTCAAATTTTCCAGATCAGCAACAAGATTCCATCCCCGACCGGCGCAGCACATACGCCTGCCCGCCCGCCCGACAGAGCACCAAGCTACCGCCAACAATGGCCTCCCTTCCCTCACAACACCCGTCGCTGGCCCTCCACTTAACAGACCGCGCCCTCAACCCGATCCTGACCTCGGCGCACTCCCAATCCCAACTCGAGGCACTCACCTCCCTGACGACGACCTCTCTGACCGCCCACGCCGCCGCGAACCGCTTCTCCCTCGGCCCCGCACAGCGCATCATCGTCGAGCACGGCCCGGGCAGCCCCGTCGTCCTAGCCTCCTTCCTTAACGGCGCCGATGCCCTACCGAACTCAAGGGGAGAGAGCTCCGTTCCGTCAGCGTCAGTCGCGGCCAAAAAGTCCTCGTCAAGACCCGTATCTTCTGGTGTTGCCGGCGCGGCCCCGATAGCAGAGTCATCTTCAGCAGCGGGGGCGTCGGCGAGAGCGATACCCGAGACGGGCAAGCTGGGCGAAGAGCCAGAAAACGCGGCGCCGATGCTGGTCGGCATGGTAGTCGCGGCAACTGGCGAGGAAGCCATGGAGGCGCGCCGCGCCGCGGGTAGACTCGAGAGGGTGGGCAGAGAGTTCCAACGAGAATGGGCGGCCGAAGGAGGGACGGGCGACGCCGACGGCCTTGGTCGTTGAGATACCCTTATATACATGACGGAGGAGTTTCGCAGTTGGAACCGACTGGCGAACACAAGGGGAATGGTCAGATCGTAACAAAAATGGACAACAGTGTCCTTGGTGGGAGTTCAGTGATGCCCAGAAGGAGGCGTCATCGTGGCCTGGGAAGTCAAGCCGGGGCAGGGCATTTGGTCCTTTCATGAGGGTTATGAGCAACGAGATCATGGTCACATGGAGGACTCGGTATGGAAACCAAACCAGGCTACGGAATAGGGTGGTTAGGCGTACAGGAAAGCGCGAGTTCGCGTTAATCATAATCTTTGGATTTTTGACGGTCTCTCTATATACCGAGTTCATTTTCCCCGTTAAACGTCCGTCATTGCGTTAAAAAAAATAAGAACAATCGCCAATTAACCAATTTCTACCCATGGATATGAACGCTTTAAATGATCTGCTGGAAAGCACGGTTGAGAGGAGAGCGAACGTTGGGGACGTCCTTCCAGAAGTCGACGGTGGCGACCGCGCGCTTGGCGATGCCCTCGGGGGTGAACTCGAACTTCTACAGAGTGGGTTAGAATGACTGACTGACAAAAGTGAGATGGGAGTGATGAACTTGCCTTGTAGACATCCTTGTAGGGACCGGAAGCACCGAAGCGGTTGATACCGAACTGCTCGTGGGAGTATCTCTCCCAACCGAGGGTGGACATGACCTCGACGGACATGATGGGCTTGCCGTCGGGCAGGACGGACAGCTTGTAGTCTTTGGGCTGGGCGTCGAAGACCTCTGTGCAGGGCATGGAGACAACGCGGGCAGCGATGTTGTGCTTCTCCTTGAGGTACTTGACGGCATCAACGCAGATGCAGACCTCGGAACCGGTGGAGACGAGGGTAATGTCGGCGTTGGCGTCCTCGTGCAAGACGTATCCACCCTTGATACCCTTCTCGATGACGGAGCCCTCGAGCTGGGGCAGGTTCTGGCGAGAGAGGGCAATGATGGAGGGGGTGTGCTTGGAGGTCAAGGAGACGTAGTAAGCAGCGCTGGTCTCGTTACCGTCCGCAGGGCGCCAGACCATGTTGTTGGGCAGAGCGCGGAAGTGGGCGAGAGTCTCGATAGGCTGGTGAGTAGGTCCGTCCTCACCAAGACCAATAGAGTCGTGGGTGGCAACCCAGATGGCGCGGATCTGAGACAGAGCGGACAGACGGACGGAGCCGGCGGCGTAGGAGACGAAGTTAAGGAAGGTACCTCCGTAGGGGATAATGGTACCGTAGGCAGCGAGACCGTTCATGATGGCACCCATACCGTGCTCACGGACACCGTAGCGAATGTAGCGGCCGGCGTAGCTACCGAGGCCGGTAGCAGGGGCCTGGAAGTCAACAGCCTCCTTCCAACGGGTCAGGTTGGAGCCGGTCAAATCGGCGGAACCACCGACAAGCTCGGGGACGATCTCGTGGATCTTCTGGAGAACGGTCTCGGAAAGCTTGCGGGAAGCAATGGCGGGGTCGGCAGGGGTGTAGACGGGCAGAGACTTCTCCCAGCCCTCAGGGAGGTCACCCTTGAGGCGACGGCTGGTCCTTGGCCTCGGTGGGGTACTTCTCGCCGTACTTGGCGAAGAGCTTGTTCCACTCCTCTTCGGCAGCGGCGCCCTCGGCGGCGTGCTTGTTGTACAGGTCGTAGACCTCCTGGGGGACGGCGAAGGACTGCTCGGGGTTAAAGCCGAACTTCTCCTTGAGCTGCTTGATGTCGTCGGCCTTGAGGGGAGAGCCGTGGACACCGTGGGTGCCCTGCTGGAGGGAGCCGAAGCCAATGGTGGTTCTCAGCTTGATGAGAGTGGGCTTGTCCTTGGACTGCTGGGCCTTGGCAATGGCCTTCTCGATGCTGTCAAGGTCGTGGTCACCGTCGTCAACGATGAGGACCTCCCAGCCGAAAGACTCGTATCTCTTGACGACATCCTCAGTGAAGGCGACGTTGGTGTCACCGTCAATGGAAATGTGGTTGTCGTCGTAGACGGCAATGAGGTTGCCGAGCTGGAGGTGACCAGCCAGGGAAGAGGCCTCACCAGAGACACCCTCCATCAAGCAACCATCACCGAGGAAGGTGTAGGTGTAGTTGTCGGACACGTTAAAGCCATCCTTGTTGTAGACAGCAGCGGTGTGAGCCTGGGCAATGGCCAGACCAACAGCGTTGGAGATACCCTGACCGAGAGGGCCGGTGGTGACCTCAATACCGGGGGTGTCGTGAGCCTCGGGGTGACCGGGGGTGATGCTGTCGACCGTCTTTGGGGTCTGTCAGCAAATGGCTCATTTCTCACTCATTCATTGAGTCATGGTCAAACTTACGCGGAACTTCTTCAGGTCGTCGATGGAGACGCCGTAGCCGTAGAGGTGGAGGAGAGCATACTGAAGCATGCAGCCGTGTCCGTTGCTGGGAAAAGAGTCAGTCAATGGAATTCGATTCGTGAATTAGTAGCTTTGGCAGCGTGTATCAACTTACGAGAGAACGAAGCGGTCACGGTTGAGCCAGTTGGGGTTCTTGGGGTTGAACTTCATGAACTTGTTGAACAGAACGTGAGCGACCGGCGCCATACCCCTAGAGAGTGAATTGGTAAGCTTCTATTTCCAGATCCATAGTCCAATACGCGTAGTGTGGGTGCAAGACGTACATGGGCGCACCGGGGTGGCCGGAGTTGCTGTTGAACGTGGCATCGACCTGGGAAGCGCAGACTCGGTCAGTTTCTTGTCCTTTTTACAGATTGATGATGAGACGCTTTTCGGAAAGCTCATTGAGGCCGGCCAGCCCATTGCCTGATAACCTCGTCGCAGCATCGTGGATGATGGCGGTGGTGGTCTCAATGGCGGGGTAACGACAAATCCTCAACGAAGAAGCGCGTAGGCGGGGTAAAAATCTGGCGGGCGGGTGAAACTCACAGCGAGCAGGCGGATCGTGTTGATCGCCTTCCAGTCTTGTTCGGTGTAACCCATGATGTCTGATTTTCTTCCAAGAGTTTTTGATGTAGAACTCGATCAGGGGAAGAAGAGAATGTGATGTGAAGGAGGGAGGAAATTTAAAGGAGAGGTCGGAGGAGGAGGAAGAAGAAAATAGATGGGCGAGAAGGAGTGGGAGAGGAGGTGGTAATGTACCTCAGGTATTCCGATACAAGACAGCAGCACCTTTTGCCTCAGAACGTACCTCAGCAGTTCCGTCGCTGCGTATGTCGGCCGGGAAGGTAATTATTGAGCATCTAGTGGGGACCTGACGTGGGCGTGGACAAGGACCGGAGGGGGGGGCACATGGAGGGGTGGAGGGGTGGAGGGGCAGAGGGCGGACCAGACACAGACCACTGACGCCGCGGCCGGATTCTCTCGAGAACAACACGACACCAGACGAGACAAGCCACTGGGAGGAGAAGGAGGTCACCACACGGTGGGATGCTTGTTGCCGGGGGGTTTCGTTGCTGCCCACTCCAGGCACAGAAGTGAATTGGATTGGCATGAGGATGTTCTGTTTGGGTATACTGCACTTTCTCTGGATAATTTGGATTCCAGAATGGCCACGATACTTGGAGGTACCTCATAATCCAAAATAGCTGAGGTAAGGAAGCACGAACGTACCTACCTTAGGTAGCTCCTCCCCTTCTATTGCCAGTGCGGGAGAGGTACATTGGCTCGCTTGGAGCTTTCTACGTACCTTAAGGTACCTCAGCTCAGGTAGCTTGGCCTTACTGAGAGCTTTTTTTTTTTTTTTTTTGGCGGGATGCCCGGACTCAACATCAGCACCTGCCATGATACCTCCAACATTAAGCAGCAGCACATACTTCACTTGCTCCGGAGTAAGGTGCTTACTTGCCTTTGGATAACTGAGAAAGTCACTCATGTCACTTTTCGGTGTGTTCCACCATCGCCCATTTTGATCCATCACCCGTCATCCATCTTCACAATCACATGGAGTGGGGGGCCTTTTTCCAACGTGTCCCGCATCTCTTTATTGTCGCATCTCCAGTTTTTGGCCTTGGGAACGGGACACAGCACCTTCAGCTCGTCTCAAGTCTCAACAACCTCGTCGTCCGGCAAAAAAAAAAAAAAGCTGTGGGCTGACTGACTTGCGTCGATTTGTCCCATCTGCTGCCACCTCTTCTTGGCCTCTTCTGGCTTTTTTCGCCCCTCCCATTGCCTAGCCACACATCTTTCTCGTCCTTGTATTGGTGGGCTTTGTCGGTACAACCGCAGACCGCACTCTTTGCTCTCATTATTACCCGTCGATGGTCGACCTGTTTCCATGGACCATTCCAATTCACCCGGCAACCCCTGGAAGGCAAAAATGTCCGGCCTTCGACTCCCAATTCCCTCTCTGCCGCGTCCCGACCTCGGTGTCCGGGCTATCCCATCTCGACGAATCATACCGCACTCGGCGCACCAGGTTCAACCATATCTGCACACTGCCACCAGCAGTAAGTCCACCGCCATTGGAACACACTCACTCAGCGCCCAAATAGCATATCAACTGTATCACATTTTCGACTGTGACGTATCTTACCCCCATGAACTGACTCTCGATTCCTTCCAGAAGCTCGCTCGTTGCCCGTATTGACTCGCGCGAACAATGGCATCTATGGATCATGGAGACAGTCTGTCGTCATAATGCCCACATAGCACAACCGCTTCACCTGGGTGTCTGGGTCTCCTTCGGTATCTGCCACGACCTGGCAACGTCGGCTTGCCCTTGAGGAGGGTCTTGACTAATCCGTGGAGATGGCTGCATCTTTTGGGTATCTCCGGCCCACCCTATCGCCTCTCCAGTCTTTCCGGCCAGTAGCCTCGCGCTATTTTATTCACTCACGATGTTGCGTCGCCGTCGGCCATAGGCCCAGCGTGTGCCGGACTTTAAGCCTCGTCCAAGCAGATGACCCAGAGAGAGCCAAGCGCCGAAAATATCCTCCCTACGCCCTCCGTCGCCTCCATTTCTCTCGCTCGCGTTGTTTCAAGCCGGCGACGCGGATAAGCTCTGGCCCCTCCGATACCACCTGGTCCACCCTGGCATCGCCTGGCTTGACTTCTTTTGCTGAGCATCAGATCCAGTCATGTCAGTGGACCCTGACTGCATGATGACACCCCTCGCGTCTCCTATCAAATTTTTTTTTTAATTCACCGTTCGGTCGCAGGGCCGACTCGCAGGCTGCAGCCTTCTTCTGCTTGTATCCGTAGGCTGTAGAAGCAGCATCAGATACTACAGCCCCTCCGGCCCCTCTACGGGCGGGCGCCGTCTTGCATCGAGATGCGCGACCTCCGTTGATAATATCAAGGTCAGGACAGACCAGTATAGAATTCTGTACGGCCAGCGCGGCAGATTCCCGCGGAGGACGTCAACACACATTTATCGGCAGGTAGGTGTCCAGAACTGTTTGATGTGTTAATACCACAAAACATCGATATTCCGACCGACATTCCACGCCTCCAACGCCTCGGCATGTCTCAGTACGCAGTACTCGGGGCCGGTGGAATGTGTGCCGCAGATATTCAACGCCGTGATGCTCTATTTTCTGCGCCTCAATGCTTTCCTCTACGCCGTCCGAGACTCTCACACGCTCTGGGCGATGTGCCCCCCTCCGGAGCCGGTGAGCACGGGCCACCCGTCTGGGATTCGGCCAGTTTCGTATTTATCCGCGCAAATCAAGGCGGCCGCAGGCCCAAGCTCCCTTCTTCCCTGCGGATGACATCAAGCCACTCCACCCGCATATCCGCCGCTTCAAGCGACGTGTATCCGTTCACGCCGTTGTTGGTCGAGATTGAGCGGGAGAAGATGCGGAAAATTCTGTGGTTTCGGGTTTCGAGTTATCGAGACTCGAGAGCCATGCTTTGCCTCATTTTGAGTGAAATGAGTTTAGCCTCGACGGTGCAACTTCGGACACTGGCCGTGGCTAATCGGGCCTTGTGTCGCGCTGACCAAGCTTTGATAGAAGTGTGGTTCAGGCGGCGCAATGAGTTCGACCTTGCTCTTGGCGGTGCACCTGAGGATGATCTTCACTCGACTTCAATGAAGTTGCTTAGCCGTAATGATTCGTGTATTCATATCGCAACCACGCGAGCAATGCCTCATGTGTGTTGTGAGATCTCATCATGAGATTCACTTCTAGTGAAAGGCTCATATGAGCTCGCTCCATGTGCACTACCCTCAAAAGCGGGCGGTGTGGACCCTGCCCGGTTGAGTTTTCGCCTCACCCAACTTCATCAACCGCAAGTCAACGTCTTGAAGATATCAGAACAACGTGAAACCGAACGTCCTGGTCGTGAAAATCTCATCTTCTGCTTCAGAAGATTGAGAGTAGTATACAGGAAACTGCTACTGTCACTCAGAAGCCAACAGCCCAAACTTCGCCGTCAACGCAATTTCTCTCCATCACTACCCCTCCATTTTTACCCCTCCATCCAAAAAAAGTCCTCAACTTCACTTCACAACCTCACAAACTCTTACGCCATCATCAGAAAGTCGACAAGACTTTCACTACAACCGCAACCATGGGCAAAAAAATGAAGGTCGAGCACAACATCCGCGACACATCCCACCACGCCGCACAGTCCAAAAAGGGCAAACCAGCAAAGCAACAAAAGGCCAAGCCAAAGGCTCAACCCGAATCCTCATCATCTTCTTCTGCTGCCGCAGCAGACAACACCTCCGCAGATATCCTCCCCCTAACCCACCAACAACGCCTCCTCTCCTCCTTCGCCTCCGCTTTCCAACCCGTCCTCGCGTCCCCGGCCTTTGCAACGATCCTGCAAGAAGTCAAAGCCGCGCTCTACGCCCGCGACTTTGACGCGGCATTCACTTCGGCCAAGGCGGAGAGCTTGGATGCGTATGCTGCGAGGTGGAGTCCCACCCGCTCTCTTGCGTACGCTGTTGTTCTGTTGGGTATCGCGGAGCACCTCGAGGGGTTGGAGGTTCAGGTCAAGAAGGCTGAAGATGAGGCTGGAGCTCAACCCGTAGCTGAAGTAGCCGAGGGTCTCGGAAAGTTGATCGTCGAGGACAAGACGGGTGATGCTCCCCGGGATGTGAACTCCTACTCCTCCACCGACGATCAGGATGCCGTCTCTCCTACTCCTGCTCCTCCCGCAGCGGAGGACGATGCCGTCACCCCTCCACCCACCTCGGAACCATCCGAGACTACCACCACCCCCAAGACGACGCAAATCAAAAAGGAAATCAAGATCCTCTCCATTGGCGGCGGCGCCGCAGAATTAGCAGCCTTAGCAGCCTACCTCTCCCAACAACCACCCTACCTAAAAGGCACAATCACCCTCCTCGATGCCGCCCCCTGGAGCCCCGTCGTCTCCAAACTCCACGCCGCACTCACAGTCCCGCCCCCCGTCTCGCGGTACGCAAACGAAGCCCAAGCCACCGCCGCAGCCCTCGTCGAGCCAGCGGCGCGCCTATCCTCGTCCTTTGCACAGCTCGACGCCCTCGCAATGACACGGGAAGAACTTTCACGCACGCTGGGCCTTGTAGATCCAGTACTCGTCACATTACTATTTACCCTCAACGAGCTCTACACCGCCGCCGGCATCGGCAAGACCACCGCCTTCCTCCTCAACTTGACCGCCACCGTGCCCCTCGGCTCCCTTCTCCTCGTCGTCGACAGCCCCGGGAGCTACTCCGAGGCTGCGGTGGGCAAGGAGTCCAAAAAGTACCCCATGCAGTGGCTCATGGACCACACCCTCGTCAACAAGCCCGAAAAGGACAGCGTGTTCCCGGGGTGCCGATGGGAAAAGGTCGAGTCCAACGACTCTGTCTGGTTCCGTCTCGCCGATTCTCTGAATTACCCAATCTCTCTGGAAAATATGCGCTACCAAATGCACCTGTATCGCGCAACGAAACCTTAAAGCAAGAACAAAAACGCCGAAAGAAACCGCAATGGCGTGTATGCATGAGTGCCAAAGAAACAAGCTACTTCACGCCCAGACGAGTCTCTTCAGAGAATAGCTGATGTGGTCCAGCAACCCAGTGCTTTGCCTCGCCTCCTCTAGCGAAATAATGTCGCCCTTCTCTATGATGCTCTCGGTGCCTGGTCTCTCCTTGCCAGGTTGACTCAAGAACGCCAGCCGTTCTATGTCTGCGCATATGCTGACAACCTGCTGGATCTCGCTGAGCTTGGGTTCTTCGCCCGTCACAGCGGCGGACGATTGCGAGTAAGGGGCCTTGAAGGCAAGCTTGCGTACTGGAGGCGCCTTGGGGCCGCCACCACCCAGCAAACTGCTCAAGGCAGATTGAGGTTGCTTCTGCTGCTGCTGTTGTTGCTGCTGCTCCGATGAGACCGCATCCGTCTTGGTCTTTGTAATACCCAGGTTCGAAAAGGTCCTGGTGTTCGTCCTCGTAACGTCGTTCTTGCCTGGCTGGTACGACACAACGAAGCCGACATTCTTCATCTCGTCCGTCTGCCCAGGGGATACTGTCGAGATGATGTATGTGCCAAACTTGATACCGACAACATGGGCCAGATCAATCCGCTCAAAGGAAGAGACCTTGTCCATGTTCCAGTCAAACCGGCAGAGGTATAGTGCAGCGTCCGTCAGAAGCAGTACCACCTCCTCAAAGGGCATGGCTCGTAAGCTATCCGATTGATGGGGACTGAAGAGGACCCAGCCGCCCATGAACTCTTCGCCCTCGTCGGAAATGACGCGCCTTTGCGATAGCTCGATGGCCTGCTCCCTCATCTTCAGCATTGAGACGGCAGGGTCTTTGGTCATCATCTCGGCCTCAAACTCTTGGAAGACCATCGAGTTCACGTTGCCGAGAAGGAAGTCGATGGCAGCTTGGCTGAAGTAGTCATTCACCATGCTGGGTTAGGGGGGTTAGCAAAAGTCCAAGATACATGAGAAAAGCAAAACATCTTACCCATTGTAGTACCGGGTCAAAGAAAGACCAAGATCATTCAATGTGCCCCCAAGATTCCGCTTCTTCGTTCTTGTATAGTCACCCTTCATGGCCGCAGTAGATGCATACTGTTTCGACACGGCATCACCATTATCCGCCCAGAGAGTGTTGAACCATTGTGTTTGCTGATCGACTTGAGCTGCAAGGTCATAGCCCTCCGCTCTCAACTGAGACTCCAGCATGAACTTTCCAAACGAGCTCTGGCACACGTTTGTCCTGTCAAGACAGTCCATACAGTTTGTGCGCAAGACGCCCTGTTGTTTGGTGGTGATCTGACCAGCGTCTTCCACTGTGCTTCCAAAACCCTCCAACTTGTCGCGGAGAGTATCAAGAAGCTGACTGACGTTCTCGAACTTCATTCCTTTACAGGCTGAATGGAAATCGAACCATTCAAAACCAACGGTGTCATGTTCACCTTTTGCTTCTTCCTCATTCAACCTCTGTACTGTCTTTTCGTATTGACCACCGACAGTTGCCTCTACGCCATGCTTTTCGACAAGGTTGACAATTTGTAGAAGTCCGTACTCTGTCTTGAGCCGCTCGAGGTGTTTCTTCGTCGCGGCATAGTTCGCTTCGGGCGAGTGTTGAATGACGGGCGCAGGTTTAAGGGAGACAGGCGATTGTGTGAAGAAGAGCGGAATGCTGCCCCGGATTTGAAGGAAAGAGTAAATCTTTGAAGACTTGTCCCAAGAAGTGCTCGAAAGAATCTGCTCGGTTTCGACCGCGTTGGCAACATAGCCCTGCTCATCAATGCCTCGTCTCAAGTATCTGAGACCAGCCCTCTGTGTCGAGCGGCGAGAAATCACAGTCAAAAGAAACTTCTTTTCGGTAGAGCGCAAATCGATTGAGTCGCGGACTGTCTCCGGCGGGGGAGAAGATAGTTCGGCATCGGGCTGTTTCATATTCGATAGCTCCACGGAATCCCCGAGACCTTCATCGTGTTGAGGAGGGCTGCTGTCCACCACGAAGCTTTTCTGGGAAACAAAACCCTGCATGAGCGGTAGCAACAAAGCATCCTCTCCAGCCTCCATGAATGGCTTTAATGTGTTCTTGTTCCAAAAGAATATCGGGTCTACGCGCTCATGCAGAGGTACTTCATCGGACTCGGCGGGAGAACGGCTCGACCAACGCCGCGTGATGTCGAAGTCGTAAGAAAAGAAGAAGCTTTTTGATGAGCCATAAAAGATCTGGGTCATCCGCAGAAGCTTTGGCAGCAGCGTAGATGCCGTGGTCGGCTTGGTGGCCTCGTCAACGGATGGCCGCGGAGGAGCATTCTTGACCGGACTGTGGTCAACAGATCGTCGCACTTGGTGCGCGGCTCCGCTCCAGCCTGCTGATCTCTTCTGGTCCTGCGTCCATCCGCTTTTGCTGAACCAGGTCTGCGCGAACCTCCCATAGCTTCCTCTCCTGCCGATAACATCTTTGGCTACGGTGCTCTTCACGGTTTCAAGGTCCTTATCGCTGTTCATCTTAGCTTCTTGCGCAGGGTCTTCGACTTCATCACCGCTTGCTGGAAGTTCGATGTAGTCATCACTATCGCTGTCGCCGGCGTCCTTGTCCGTCTTGTGATCTTGAAGCTCCAAAGCTGTCTTCGCGATAGCCTCTCCAGCTTCTTGCTGCGAAGCACATGGGGTAATAGCGACTTCTGTGACGACATAGATCGGGAAACCGCAGATTTGCGCAACTTGCTGGCGCCGAGTAATTGTGATTAAATAGCTGAGGCGTGAAACTGTGATTAAACCTGCGTTACCCAATAATCAGCATCGAAGCTGCGACAATTATGGAGTGCAGCTAGAAGCCCGGATGCCGCACCTATAACGCCGAAGGCTTCGAACGAAGAATTTGGCTGAGAAAGGTCGGGTATTTGCTCTCGTGGAGCAGGGGTTATTGATGCATCGCCATATTTGATCCTGACCGGCTGCGCGGGGCGCTGTCCTTTGGTCACAAATGGTTGGATGATAAGGCCGTCGACCGCCGCGCAGATGATGATCTTGCGAGCGATACCGGGCATCTTGCGATTCGGAATGCGATTCGGAATTAACGCGATGCGCGAGAAGAAATGGAGGGTCTATAAGCAATGGAGATGGACTAAAAAACTACGCCCAGCAATGTACGAACAAGAAGTTATTAGATATTTCGGGCCGCAGCATCAACATTGGCGGCGTGTAAAGAGGATGCAGGAGAGAATGGGACGTTGTGCGCGACAGGAACTGCTGATGATGGCGGGCCAAAAATCGTGCATGTAGCTATGACATGGGTGGTGGGCCGCGGGGTAACGTCAGTGTGCATTTGCTGGGCCAGGTGCTAGTCGCTGAGACAGCGAGCGCAAGTCACGCCTAAGACACCGGCCCGATGAGTGGTTCAGTCTGCTCATTAGACGCCAGGTCTGCATTCGTTCTCATCTGCACCAATGCTCCCACTATCCAAGGTAAGGTAAAGTGGTGAAGTAAGAAAGCACTCGCCTTGCTCTTCAGCTACCTTATTGGGCCCAGGGGGAGGTGTCAATCAAGTGCAGGTTCCTCCACTAGCTCGTCCCGAGTCAAGCACCGCTAACTGCACAAGTTGTGGCCATTGCATATTTGGGATTTTGAGTTTTCGACAATCATCAATTGACAGTTTTCCGGACCAAAACACCTCGCAGGAATCCACTACCAGACAGGCGCATTCGCATAGCTGTTTTCGCAGCCAGTTACCCTGCGCTCCGTTGCAATAACAGAGGCCACGAAGAGAATTGGAACCAAGAATAGCTAGTCGACGCCCATCAACAATTCAGACTTTTCCATTCCAAACCATTTTTCAGCACCTCCCAAGATATATCATAATACACTGCCCATTATCCTACGCCGGGGGTATCTTAGATGGCGAGTCTCTCGATCTTGTCCTTGAGGGCGCGGATGGGGCCGGCAAGCTCGGAGCCCTCGTTGGAGGTGATGCTGCAAGCAATGACGGCCCGGGAGACACCGCAGGCACGGCCAAGGGCGGTCTTCGACTTGACGTAAACGTAGGGGACGTTCTTGTCCTCGGAAAGGAGGGGAAGGTGAAGAACAATCGAGAGAGGGTTGGTGTCGGCAGCTGGTCGACAATATTAGCACTGTTTCGTCAAGATGGTCGATAAAACATACCGAGAATGATGAGCTCAGAGACACCACGGTTGAGGGTCTTGGTGGCCTCGTTGGCGCCCTTCTTCAGCTGGCGGTAGTGCTGGCACTGCTGGACCATGTCCAGGAGCTCTTGCTGGAGAGCATCGTCGGCGAGGGGCCAGGCAGCGGATTCAGACATTGTTGATGATGTAAGGGGTCGAGTGATGTCTGCAGAACACAATTAGTTTTTTTGCAACCGATAAGCAGAAAGTCTCAAGACTTACCGATGTTATAGTGCAGGGTTCCTTGCGTTGGCTCGCCCTGGTGGTGAGAAAAAAGATCGGTGAGTGTGGTGGTGAACGTGAAGATCCAAAACTTCAAACTCAGACCGATGAAAAAAAAAATAATCCCACTTCCCCAAATTTCGACGGCAGATTCCGTGGGAAAGTGGGACTCGGCTCCTGCAGCTCAAAGCCAGCCACCTCGGAGACCACATTTAGCCGGTCTCCGGGCACCGCCTCCTCCTTGTCTTACGTAAGGGCACGGAGCTGTCAACGCGCCGCAAAACCTTGCAACCAACCAGAAGGCCAACCTGGAAACGAGATCTTAACAAGCACACCTCATCTCGAGTAGTCGTCGACGCAGCATCGAACCTCACCCGTCCCAACAACCATCACCGCAATCGTCCCCAGCCCAGCTGCCGCCGCATTTCCTTCATCTCCGACTCGTCTCGACGTCTTCTTCGACTTTTTTAGCCAGCCCAAATCCACATAAATCGCCAAAATGCCTTCCGAGCTTTGGTACGTCAACAACATGCTTGTTTGCCCCCATTTACGAGCTCCTATCCATCAATCGAAGCTCCCAACTCCATCCTTTCCGATGCCCAGCTTGCGCCAATAGCTTTCCACTACGTTTCTGAAGCTCATATGCTAACGCGATAATGTCACAGCCCCGTCTATGCGGTTCGTCCTCCCTGTGCCTCCCGAGTCATCGATCCATGACGTCGCCCCCTTCCTACCTGGGATGAGCCATTTGGGTATCATTCGACATCGCGTCCACGACATCGCTAACATGCTATAGCCCTTCTTCGGAGCCATGGGCTGCACCGTTGCCATCGTCTTCACCTGCCTGGGTGCCTCTTACGGTACCGCAAAGTCCGGTGTCGGTATCTCGGCTATGGGTGTCCTCCGCCCTGACCTGATCGTCAAGAGTACGGACCAGCATCCAGAATCGAAGACCATGCATGCATGGTCTAACTGCATCCTCATTTGCTAACTGCTACTCTAGACATTGTTCCCGTCATTATGGCTGGTATCATTGCTATTTACGGTCTCGTCGTTTCCGTGCTTATCTCCGACGGGCTTCAGCAGCAGATGGCTCTGTACACTGGATTCATTCAGTTCGGTGCTGGTCTCTCTGTCGGTCTTGCTGGTCTTGCTGCTGGTTTCGCCATTGGTATCGTCGGTGATGCTGGTGTCCGTGGAACTGCTCAACAGCCCCGTCTCTTCGTCGGCATGATTCTGATTCTCATTTTCGCCGAAGTTTTGGGTACGCCATTTCGCCCCCCGATAGTAGACGCGCTCTTTACTGACATGAGTGTTTCTAGGTCTTTACGGCTTGATTGTCGCCCTTCTCATGAACTCCAAGGCCACCCAGGACGTCACCTGCTAAGCGACGACACCAACACGACGAATGCTCGGTTGAACGGTTGACAAGATGTACTTAAGCCACAACTTGCACGGGCATCACTGCCACAGGGCGGACAAATATCATCAGCAGGCGCGTCGAAAACTCGAATCAAAGGTTTAAAGGCATAGGCGTGGGAACGGTCAAAGGTCACGAAATGCCATGTTTGGGACGATCGGGGGCTGCTTCGATCACGGATCAAACGTATATGTACTATTTTGCCATCAAGGTATGCTATCCATTCAGGGGGGCGATTGCTCAGCATAGACATCGGTGATGGGAGAACGGAATTGTAGTCTAGGTTGCGACAATGTGTTTTTTATGCGTCTATTATTTTGTTAAAGTTCCCGCCCTCTTCACTTGTGCAGTGTGACATTCGGGTGAAACTTGACTGGACGTTGCTCTGCAGCTCATCTTCACTACCGACGTAGTCCAACGCCGAACGAAGTGGACCGGAAATGTGAGGCTACGATTTCCAGACAATGACCACAAGTCGTAGGCAAGAAACATTGATCAAATTATATCCATGTTCTCTATGAACCACCTCAAGATACTTGAGTTAGGTTAGTATCTAACACCTAGTCAGGCTTTGGCAAGACAAATGCAGTCGAACTAACAGTGACATACTCCTTTAGGGAAGCATCATCTAGGCTGCGCAGTGGAGTGTGAAGCTACCAGCAGGAATGCTGAACCCTCTCTATTCTCAGCAACATACGGATATACAAGCGCCCCATACCTACTCGTGTCGACATCATCATCTTGCCTCCATGTGCCATTGCCATAATCATCTCTCTGTCGAATGAAACAACAATGACAGACAGCCTTGAGGGCAGAGTCACTTGAAGGAAAGTTGTGCCTTATCCTTACAACTTAAACATCTAAGCCTGTACCTTGAAGGCCTAGATATCAAGGTCTGCTTCGCCTTGACAAGTGTTCACTGGACGGCACACAAGCAGCGCTGCCAATTTATTATGGGGCGTCTTTCTCTTTGGATAAATGTCTCATTTTACTCATTTTACTCGATTTCGGAGGGCAGCGTGCCTAATAAACGCTGCCCCCACGTGACAAAGAAAGCCGCGGTTATGTCAAAGAACAAGGACCGCTCCTGTTATATAATTACAATTCTTTATGCCAATCACGTCTTCTTGCACATGATGCCGGCAGATTTCTTTTTCCCCCATTCGTTTACCATTACCCCTTGCCTTCGCTTCCGGTATTGAAACCCGTTGGCTACCGGCTCCAGGTGAAGAAGCGGATTATGTACAGACAGAAATGGCCCGATGGCCGCGGCATAAGACGCCTAGTTTTTGGGAGGGTTTGGTGGAATCGTCACTTAGATTACGTACTGTTTGGGAGTTAGTTATTGTTGGCTTTTGTCCATTCCAGCGGAAAGAGGAAGACTTACAGGAATGAAGAGGTAGGGAACCTCGCGTTCATACTGGGTCCAGGCATCACCGTACTTTTGGCGGCAGCGGTGAATGTCACGAGCAGCACGGTGGGCAATCATGCCGCAGAAGAAGACGGGGTAGAACCAGGGGAAGGGGCTCTTGAAACCCGTGATCAGACCCCAGCAGATGGCGAAGAAGGCATCGCACGTGTAGTGGATCTTGCGGGCGTAGCCGTACCAGCCGTCAGCGAGGATGACATCGCCCTTGTCCGAGGTGATGGTCTTGGGGTTCTTGACCGTCTGCCAGGGGAGCTGGGGGAAGGTCTTGCGGGCGACAAGCTGGCCGCGCTCCTGGGCTCGGAAGCCGTTCTTCTGGCTGTTGGTGGTGTCCCAGATCCAGTAAACGAAGAGATAGGAGACAAAGAGGAAGCCAAGCGCGAAGGGGTTCCACTTGTACTCGGAAGGGTGGTGGTTGGCCAGGAAGATGGTGCAGTGGCAGTACGAGAGAGGAACGCCGGCAAGGTTCCAGAAGATGAGCATGAAGCCCCACTTCTCGTAGTACATGTCCCAGGTCGGGACGATGAGCTGCTCGCCCTTGGCGCAGGCGTTGGCGTAGAGGTAGTGGGCCATGACCAGGAAGAGCACTTCGCCGGAGACGTAGCCGTACTTCTCATATTGGCGGGCGGCAGCGCCGCAGCTGAGACCGAAGAGGATGAACCAGGGGATGCGGACCTCGAAGAACATCTTGAAGTCCAAGATGCCAAACATGCGGGGGTTCAGCTCGGCGCCAAGGAAGAAGTCGTAGATGGGGTAGCCGGTCATGCGGTGCTGGGCACCTCTCCAGAGGGCGGAGAAATAGGCAGCAAAGGCCACGAGGAAGCCACTGAGGATAGCCACAGACATCAAAGGGCCAAACTCGTCGAGGAAGGTGTAAAGGGGGAAGAATCCAGTGAAGTGAAGCACGGCCATGACAGCAATCGTGAAGTAGAAGCTGACGTAGGCGTTGCAGAAGTACTTGAGCTGCTTGCCGTTCTCGTGAGCAAGAGGCTTGCCCCAAGCCCAGACACCAGGCAGCACGCAGTAGCAGATACCCTCGAAGGTGAAGAAGGTCCAGTAGATGCGCCAGGCACGCAGAGAGGGGTATGCACCAGTGTAGACAAGGTCCACGAGATGACGGCCAAACTCGCCCCAGCTCTGTCCCTCCTCACGGGTAGGAACGCCGCCGCCGTAGTAGGTGGCTCCAATCCACATGTACCACATGAGCAGAGGGAAGCCGATCATCAGCGACATGGTGCCAATGCTGCCTCCGAACTCGAACTCGCCCGAGGCATCAATCTTGGGATCCGTACCGACCTCCCAGCCGTCAATGACATTGCCCTTCTTGTAGGTTGGCTGAGCATCCTCCTTGGGCGTGGCTGCGTGGCCGTTGCCGTTGGCTGCGATCTCAACCTTCACCTGAGCGTACCCATTGGTGTGGCCGTTGGCGATGGGCTCCTCCTTGACATTGCCATTGGTGTATCCGTTGGCGTGGCCGTTGGTTAAAGGTTCATCAAAGTCGGCGTTGCTGTTCGCTGATGTCGACTCTGCCTCGTTGTCGAGCTCCTCGCGGAACTTTCCCGTGGTGCGTCGTCTCGGGGCACGGGATTGCGACTTCGACTCGGTAACCTCTGCGCCGGTGGTGGCCTCGGGGGACTTGCGTCTAGAAGAAACACGCCGAGGGGTCTCAACCATGCCCTCAAAGAGCTCTTTCTTCCTGTTCGGTGGGTTAGCATAGGTAAGAGGAAGGTTGTTCGCTAGAGTATTGACCCATTGGAAGAGGAAACAAGAGCGGCCATGATTGCGGTTTGCGACAAGAGTGGCAACAAGGAATGCGCAAGAGAGTCGTTTGGTCTATCCACACAGCAGACCCAATTGCTTCAAATGATGGTCCCAGGCAAGGGAGAGAAAGAAAAGAAATCTCAATTCGACTGACCTAGGAGTCTGGCGCAACGAGTATCTGCCCGTCATGATGGCTGCTTCTTTTATACAGAATACCAGAAATCTTCAGCGTGGGGTCATGCACCTCTCGTGTAGCTGAGCTGGAGGCCAAAGTCCGTGTGACTGTTGGCGGCCGGGGTTCGAGGATGGGATTGTTCAGCAGCAACGATGTTCGTCCAAGGTCCAAGGCATAGGAAATCGGGGGACTTGGAGGCGGTCTGGGACGGAGAATCCGAGTACGACCAGACGAGGCGTCGAGGGGTGGCGTGCAGGACGGGAAGACAAGAGACTCAGACCCGGACGGCTTCACGTCAAACTTCGTAGTGTGTCCTCGGATTTCGATTGGGCCCTTGCCGCCTGCCTGCTGCCACTCAAAATTTTGTTGACATTTGTGTTTGCCCCCTTTCTGCCGGTAGTCAAGGGTCACGAACAGAGTTGAAATTGGAGGTACTTGATTCTGTGTGGGCTTTCTACCTGTCTACAAAGTACCGACTCTAGCCTTCTCGGGAGCTTCCTCGGCTGCAGGGGACCCGCATATGCACCTTTCGTCTAGACGACCCGCCAATAAGAAGCTTGATTTTGCCTCAATTAAGATCCGGTCATCAAAAGATTCCGAACTTTGGGTCCCCGCTGGCCGCTGCCGCCCTGCTAGACGAAGCTCGCTGCTGCACTTGAACCATGCGGCACCCGCCTGAGCTGACGGCGCACATCGATCGATGGTTGCCCTGCACTTTGAAGCTCCAAATCTCCGAGCAGAGCTCCCCTTTTACAGTTGCTAGACGATGCCTGCATGACATGCATTGCTCGTCAGGATTCGGCCATGGTCGATGTTCAAGCCTTGTCGGACTGAGCGGTCATTTGGACTCCCCGGATTTCCGTCGCGCAACGACGGAACTTGGAAACGACGGGGGTCTCCCTGATATGAGCTCAAGTTGTGCCGGAAACTGCTGGCTTCCTCTGCTAAAATTGAGGGCAACATCTGTAGATTATGATATGACAGGCAACTTAGTCTTGAACTTGTCGCATATTAGCCATAGATCTAAGGAGACAGACTTGTCATGATATCAAAATACATCTACGGCTGCTCGCGTGTAAAATCGCCGGACGTGACAAGCCATCGCGAGCATAGAGTTACCACCCGATGTCTAGAAAGGGTACGCTGCGGTCTCCCTCAACCAGCACCCATGGCATCGTCAATAACCTGTTCTGTACGTATAAGATACACAAAAATCTTATCCAACAAGACTGTTAACGCTGAGCAAAGACAAGCAATAAGTCCATACAGCCAAGTCAGTCTTTCAAGCTTGACCATTATGCCATCCAAGCCTGAATATCGCCTGTTTGCTTTTAATGAGGTAGCTCGCTGTACACTAAAGTACGCCCATGCAGAATGCAAAAAGAACATGCTGCCTGAGTCATCATCAAAGTCCTGCCTCGAATGAAGGCATCAATTCGCAGCAGCAGTGAGCATCGTCAAGTTCTTGCTGAGGCATCAACTTTAGGCAGGATGGCTCAGCAATACGTACCTGTACGTACTGCACAGCAAAAATTTGGCCTCAATTTCTCAATCGGTACGTACTCTTACTGATTGTGTACACTGCACAGACCAGCCATCAAATCTATATAACTCCCTCCTCCCGCCGCCATTTTACCTGTTTTCTTCTTTCTTCTTTAGCTCTTCTTTGCCTTTTGGCTTAGATCAAGTGTAGTATCTGTTCTTTTCAGTTTAATCTCTGAAAGATGCCTATTGGCATCACATTGATTATTCCTATTTTTGATCTCTAGGAGATGGACCTCTACGGCTTGCCGCATGCCCTCTCCACCGTGTCCCTGGTATTTCACTACCTCCAGGTGACGCAAACCCTTGATCTTTCATTGCTCAGCCTGACTTGCTCAGGCGTGTGAAGAAGGTGCTCCATGTGCTAAGACCGACATTTGTGTGGATTGAGTTGATGCCGTTGGAAGCTCGTGTTTGTGACATCGCGTCAATGCTCAAGGTCGAACGAAGCTTATTCTTGTGGGCGAGTTGTGCTCCAAATGTCAAGCCTGACCGCCTTCCATTTGCATGATTTTCAAGCTTCCTCATGCCTACGGCCATCAATGACATCGTGAAGCGTCCCAAACTGCCATTAAACTATTGAACTTCTTAAGCCGTGAAGAATTAATCATTTGCCAGCAAGACCCAGTCACCGTCGTAAGTAAAACTCTGATTTTTATTTTTCTTCTCGGTCGCCTTCTCCAGGGTGACGACGTCACAAATCGCGGGGCTTTATCCATCTGCCAAATTCAAAACTCACCACCAAATCATTGTTGCTTCAAAGGTAGGACTGGAGAATGCCGAACAATTGTGCGGGGGCTGCCGCTCAATTTTTTTAAAACTTGAAATCAATCATATCATTGCACCGTCGCTCACACATCTTCCAGATCCCAATTCTTAGCGGCTCAGACACATACCTCACCATGGATAGCGACACCAACATGGTTGAGGTCCCGGCCTCCCGCCTGCTCGACCCCCAGATCTTTGAGCACCTCAAGAACAAGATCGAAGAAGACCAGGAAGTCCGTGACCAAATGAGTCAGACAGTCCAGAAGCTCGACAGGGCCATCTCCTACGTCCAAGGTCTGCTGTCGCGCATCCACGCCACCCCGCGTCAACAGTGTGAGTCCTCAACCAGCGGCGGTTGGGCATGTCTGCAGTGGCCCGTATTCACCTGCGACTGACGTGTATTTCCAGACGGCCCCTTGTTGGCAGACGTCCAGGCGGGCATCCAGAAGGAAATCGAAGTCATTGGAGAGCTTCAAGAAATCGCCTCCAAGCATCCATACTACAAGTAGGCATCCATCTCCGTCCAGGCAATATCCTCTGACTCCTCGTCGCTAGGTACAACCAGAAGTGGAACCGCCAAGTTCAAAACGCCATCTTCACCGTCCTTCTCGCTGGGTGGTTGGGCGGTCTCACCTCAGATGGCAAGCCCGGCCCCATCGCCCGTCTCCTGACGCTCGAGGAAGTCGGCGAGATCTTCAAAGGTACCACCCCAAGGCTGCCTTCCAGGCACCCACGGCCGCCTCGCGCTAACCATCAGCAGTTCCTGTTAACCTCAAGGACCGCGACGCCTTCCACCTCACCATCGAGGAGTACCTCCTCGCGCTCACCGATCTGACCTCGGAGCTCTCCCGCCTCGCCACCAACGCCGTCACCCTCGCCGACTTTTCCATGCCCGTCGAGATCAGCAGTTTTGTCAAGGACCTTTTTGCCGGGTTCCAGTTGCTCAACCTCAAGAACGACATCCTCCGCAAGCGAGTCGACGCGGTCAAGTATGATGTCAAGCGTGTCGAGGATGTCGTGTACGACCTTTCGCTTCGCAACCTGATCCCGCAGAAGAAGGAGGCTGCTGGTGAGCCTAAGGCGTAGGATTTATCGCAGATGCGCATCGAAAGCAACTTTTGACGAGGCTGTTTCTAGAGGCCCCTCTAAAATGAGACAAACCTCTATCTTCATGAACCTAGGATTAGGACGACGTCGCATTGAATGTGATGCCTCAAAGAAATGCGGGCAGAATTCAAAGATGCTTCTCGATGACCCACTGTTGATACTTTCTGGATTTCTCAGGCCGGGGCTCTCTACGACATATGCTTGATGTGTTTCTCTACTACGGAAGCCGGGAGTCCATGGCCTCCTACCATCTTTACCCTGCTACATGTTGGTGCGATTCAACGTACAACAGTTCAGCGTTCCGGAGCATTCAGTTTTGAGGCATGAAATGCCCAATACTGAATACATATCGCTATAATTTTGATGAAAAAGATCATTTACTGCAAAAATGTGTTTGTGCCGCTATCACAATTGACCATCAAGTTGATCTGACGCTCGCGGAAAGCGGAACATTGGACGACTTGGATAGGAACAGTTGACCTTGCGGTTTCCTAAAAAAGAAACCTCCAGTAAATTACGCTGCTCAAACATCCTTTTAATGGCGGGCACTACTTACTTTCGAGCTTGTCACTCCTTCCACTTCCTCCGTTTGTCCCTTCCTGTGTCGTACGAACCGAAGGTGCTGGTAGGGTATGGGTCACGCAATCGTGTGGTCCAAGCGCTAGAGGGTACATATATGCGTTTGCCCCAATTGTCCCCAACCAACTATCACTGGATGTCAACATCCACCAATCCCCGATAGTCTAGTGGTGAGGATATCTGCTTGTCATTGAATTCCAAGGATTCGCAGGGGACCGGGGTTCAATTCCCCGTCGAGGAGTTTCTTTTTTTCTTTTTCGCTTTTTGCATCAATCACAGATGATTTCTGATGCTAGGTCAATTTTGTCTAAATCTATGAAAAAAAAATAAAAAAATAAAAAGCGAAAAGGACGCAGTGTGTGGGTTGTGGGTGTGATTCCGCAATGTTGACGGTGGTCGGCAACGTCAATGTTACATGAGCGAGATGTAAGCCGTCGGCTTGCTGCCAGCGACGCAAACCTCGATGAACAATTGGTAGAGGTATCAAGCGTCTATTGTATCAAGTCTACCGCAGGTTATGCCCGAAAGAAAATAAAAAACGAAGGTTTGTACCTCAGGAATAGTAAAACACATTCCCTTCCATCAACCTCCGTGCAGTCCTCGTCACTATACATCGATCGACCGAAAGCCCCTCTCCTTCCTCGTGAGCCCAAACCTGTACCTCCATGATTCCACTGCCGTGCTGTACTCGAATGGTGCGTTGAATTTCTTGAGCAGGGGCTTTCAAGGCATCCATAGATCCGACTTGTTCCCCCACCGGACTCGGCGTTCTTCTGGGCGTTGGCATGCCCTCCAGACCCGAATCCCGATTAGCAACACGGTGCGCCACGGTCCCCTCCGTAATCGCGGCATACGCCAGAGTGACGCCGCCCGTCAGTTGCAAACTCGGATGAGGCTTGCCCATGCTGTAAGCCTGTACTCGGATATCCGACGAATCTCTCTCATTACCGACTGGCGGCGAAACATACGCGAGCTTTGGAGTCCCTCTAACCAGACCAGCAGCCTCGAAGGTGCTGGCAAGCCCCATCTGTACAGCGCCTTGCCTCCGTATGACCTCGGCAACTTCGATGGACAGGGGAGAGTCTGGAGGCTGCCTCTTGACTTCCACAGGCAGACTCGCAGCATCAACGAGAACGAAGGGATTCGCAGAGTCGATCAAAGTCACATCTACCCCAAAGTCGCCAAGAGAAGTCACTCCTTCCACGAGGATCTGTTCGGACCGCTGTCCGCTGGGAAATAGCTTGTCAGTCATGCTACCCACCGGCTCGACGAAAGAAACCTTGATCTCGCTGCCGGGCCCCTTGACTCCCGGGATGAGACAATCTCCGTCCTCCTCTGCGTTTCCGTCTTCATCAACGTAGACTGTCTCCACAATGAGTTTTGACGTGTTGGTGTTGAATATCCGCACGTCGACTACCCGAGAACCGGGCATCGGGGTGACCAATCTCTCTTGCACTGCAAAGGGACCAACCCCTGAGCAGATATTGCCGCAGTTTCCACTAAGATCAACAGTCTCGCTTCCGACGGCCACTTGTACAAAGGTGTAATCGACATCCACGCCTGGTCTACTTGATGGCGAGACGACGGCGACCTTGGAGGTCACGCTGCTTCCGCCTCCGACACCGTCGATTTGGCGGGCATCGTTGTATCTGGAACCCATGGCTGCGAGGAGAGGTGTAGCCCATTCTGCTTCAGATGAAGGCAGGTGAGATCGATGGATGAAGAGGCCTTTGGACGTGCCGGCTCGCATCAGGACCGCGGGAAGGGAGTGTCTGACTCGGCGCTTTGTGGTTGCTGGTGTTATCGCCATAATTGGGATTGTGAAGGGGATATGAACGGGAAAGGGTTGCGGTAGGGTTGGATATGATATTTGGTGAAGGAGTCTTCGAGATCCAATAAGTGTGTTGTTGAATTTTATATTGAAGGGCATTTGTGAGGTTGTGGAATAGCGTTCAGTCTCATGCCAACTTTGAAAGAGAAGGGTACTCGGGTTTAAAAAAAGTCTGAGTGACAAGATGTTCTCCATCGAGAAAGCCTCGATATCACGCGCGGTTACTGCGTCTTAACAAGACTCTTCATCTTTGCCGTCCATCGCACGAGGGTGAGGCCGTGTCAGTGGCGTATAGCCGCGGGAGTCAAAGTGTCCCGCGGGAACGAGAAACACCACCCGCCAGTCAACCAAAACAGTGGAGCGTCAGCACTTTGTCCCCGGGTAAAAACTTGGTCAATGATAGTAACAATTTCTTTGGCACCTGATACACATCACATGTATGGATAGATCAGGAAAACATGCTGTCCAACGCGGATCCGTTGAGGCCAAAAAGTAGGTCGTCAAAGGAGGCCGAGCCACTGTCCCCTTCTGGCATCCCCTGGAACCATGTTTGGCTGCTCACAAAACCCGAGGGACCAGAGCCGAAAGTCTGATTTCCCGCTGAATGTGGGACTTGTTGCAATTGAATATCTGTTAGGGCCGGATCCGCTGAGGCTGCGTTAGGATCTTGACCTCTTGCAAAACTCTGAATGATTCCATCGATATCCGACCATCCCAATGGAGGTGTTTCGTTATCGAGTGCTGTCTGTGGCGCAGAGCTTTGGAATACTTGAGGCAAGCTATTCGTGCCTTCGGTGTTGTTCTGCGCGGTAGCCATGGCTAATCGCGTTCTTTTGCTGGCTTGTATGCGATCCCTGGGCTGTGCAGTTTGCCCCTCACAAAGACTTACACCCAGTCTCGTCATCAAGCCTTCAACTATCGTTTTGGCCCTCCTGACAGCCCAGTTCGTTTCTTGATTCTCACGAAAGACTGCCATGCAAGTTTCTAGACATTCTCGAGCCTCCGATTCTGTGCTTCGCTTGGCAGCGATCCGCACGTGTATCGTCGCCGCAACGTACGTGGCATACGAGATCAGATATGGCGCATGGCGCACGGAGAAAACCCTATCATAGACTCGAAGAACGCTCACTATGCTGTCGGCCGCAGACACACAGGTGATGAACGAGTTGACAGAGATGGAACGAGACGTGTTATACAGGTGTCCATCGGACACAAACGGGCGATTAAGAAGGATAGTAAGAACATGATACATGGCGCTGTATAGGTGTTAGATGGCCAAAAGCGTCGTAGGTCAGTAGATAGGGCTCCATGAAACTCACTGCAAGCTAAGAACATGCGGTGGCGGCACAACGTCATTTCTTTTGGGATCAAAGACAAGATGTGCTGGGAGTGCATCTTTCCAAGTCGCCAGCTTCGAGCTCAAGGTCTGTAACATTGTGGAAAGCTCTGCGGCGCTCTTGTCGAATGCTCGCTCTGTGTAGATGCAACTCAAAATGTCGCTCATGACGACTGAGAGACGGCACAGATACGTAAAGGTCGATACGCTGTAGGCGGGCGAACCAGGGTAGTTGGTGGCGTCGGTAGAGTAGGCAAACGGCTTCCAATTTTCGAACTCTTCGAACGTGTCGAGGAACTTGATCGGTACCAGAGTATCGGACTCTTTCAGGGACGCTGGACGCCCTTGATACAGACTCTGAATCTTGTCGACAACTAGTAATGTTTGTCAGTATACTTTAACCACTCGGCGTGAAGTTGCTTCTTACCGAATGCCCCCCAGAAGACCCGCCGTCGTATCTCTAGATCTTCGTCAGAGAATTTCCCTGTTGTTCCAAGACCTGGGGCATCTACATGCATGCCCAAGTCTATAATCATTCGGAACGCCAAACCAGCATACAACCAGGCGGCGCTTCTCTCATCTCCGAGCGCAAAAAGCGAATTTGTCATCACTAGCAAAGCTTGTATCGTGGTAATATCACTACTATCGAGCGCATCACCCAGTAATTTGCGGACACGCTCACGGAAGGCCCAGCCGGCGGTGCGAACATCATTAGGATCCCTCCGGACCTCCCTTCGAGGGCTAAACTTGGAAGCACCAAAGTAAATAGCGTTCAAGAGTATCTTGGAAAAGTACGGCCCATTACAGGCCATATCTCTCATGAAGGCAGGCCGGTAAGTGAGTAGAAAGGAGTGATGCTGGCGATTCCAATGCAAGGATAGGAGGTGCATGCCAAGCTCTGGATCTACACCGTCAAAATCAAGCGACCCCGCTCGATAATTGAACTCTTCAAGCTGACCTGGATTATGTTAGAGGAGTATCCTGTGATGGCCCGGAGCTTTGTCCGAGACTCCAGGGGATGTGACCCACGTTGTTTGGCTGTCTCTGCAACTAGGCCCTTCTCGATCCAGTCATCTGGCATTCGGGGGTGCAGGTCAGTTACCGAGAATCGCTCCTGAGGGTTCTCCTCGAATAAGGCACTGGTACGGCCATGGTAGCTTGAGACTCCATTTGCGGATACCACGATCCGGGATACATCTCCGCGATGGGAAGATGCCCGTTCCGCTGAGTTTTCCGGTCGTCGTGTCCTGGTAAGTGGGGGCGAGGGTGTCGAAGGATCATGGTCATCGGGGTTTGGTGAGGGGCCGGCGTCGTTGCGGTCCGCGGGAGTGAGATTACGGACGCTGTCATCCCGAGCACTTGTCGGAGTGTCTGCTTGCCGTCTCGTGCTCCTCAGAGCACCCTGTCTCTGCCGCCCGACGTGACGCCGTGGTGGTGTCGAGTGCAGGGTGTTGTCGTCAAGGCCAGCCAGAGGCTCATAGACACAGTCTTTGCCGTATGTCTTGCAGTTGGCACATGTAGGCTGTTCGTTATTGCACTTGATCTGAAGTCCGAGTTTATACCTCTATCCGGTGCTGCGACTTAGTTGGGTGACATACCTTGCGTCTTCGACAGAATGAGCATGCCTCGACGGCCCGCCTCCGGGGACGTCCGGCAGCTGTGGTGTCATTACCCGGTTTCGGACTCATGATGAGCTGAGCAGGCAGTGAGGGATAGTAGCCGTGGATGGCTTACTGATTGGCACGAGAATGTTTGCTTCGGGGTGTCGTGGTTTTGGGAGAAAGTGTCGGACGGCAGGCTTGCCGCGGGAAGAAAGTGCCGTTGAAGTGACTAACTTTGGCCGGGCCGCGGATGCGGGAAGCACACTGATTGGCCCGGTCTGAGCCCTTGCTTATCTATCCGCAACTCCATCTCCTTCCCGCGGGATCCTGAAAGCCGCCTCTGTCGAGAAGGAACGAGGAGTCGGGAGGATCACGAACCAGGGGTGCGTTTGATTTTCAATGACTAGAACCACCTAATTTTATCTTCCAATTGATCCGCGTGATCGCCTCTCGCCAGTCACGCCATGAAGACCTCCTACGGCACACCGTCATCCCGGCGACGCACCCGCTGGCTATTTTCAACTGCTTTTCTATGTGGTTCAACCATTTCTCTTGCATAAACTTCGAACAACTTGTTCCGACTATCAGTCATAGTTCTAGTACTTCAAATGACCATGGCATCGCTTTCTTCGACTGATTCACCCGGTGGTATGGTCATTACCACAGCCCCGACAGAAAGGAGGTCTAGTCTGGCTGCCAAGCGCAAAATCTCGCCAGGGATATCTCTAGTCTCAGGCGGAATTGCTGGAGCTGTTGAAGCTTCAACTACAGTAAGTAAAGATTGCCCGGTCTCAGTACAGTTTCGATGAGGACCTAGCTCACTGACTTCAATTCCGACAAGTATCCCTTTGAATTCGCAAAGACGAGAGCGCAGCTCCACTCGACAGGCACCAAGAACCCATTTGCAGTACTGCTTCAAGTTGCTCGACAGGATGGTCCGAAAGCCATCTACACAGGCTGCTCAACCCTTATAATTGTAAGTATTCTTGATATGTTGGCTGCGTTACATTCTCACCTTTTCACAGGGGACGACATTTAAAGCCGGAGTTCGCTTCCTGTCATTCGACTCTATCAGAAACTCTTTGATGGATAGCGAAGGTCACTTGACTCCGGCGAGGGGTATTCTGGCAGGTATGATTGCCGGATGCGTAGAGAGTGTTGTGGCGGTAACACCAACTGAGAGAGTCAAGACAGCACTGTAAGTGGGATCAACAACTCTCGATCTAGACGACTACTCAATTCGAGAACGCCAAGTTCGCGCATGTGACTAACCGAGAGAGTAGTATTGATGATGCAAAGTCTGGCGCACGAAAGTACGCCGGTGGGACGAATGCATTGATAACAATGGCGAAAGAGCATGGATTCGCAGAAGTATATCGAGGCCTTGTTTCTACTACGTTGAAGCAGTCCGCCACTTCAGCGGTACGTATGGGCTCGTATAATGTGCTCAAAGAACAGTCCAAGCAGCATGGCCTGCCGAATACTTCACTAGTCACGTTCGGATCGGGATCAATCGCTGGGATCGTCACTGTCTACGCCACGCAACCCTTCGACACTATCAAGACTAGAGCACAGTCAGCTCGTGGGGCTGGAACACTGGAAGCGCTTCGCATGGTGCTTTCAGAGAGGGGTGTTAGGGGCTTGTGGAGTGGGAGCACTATGAGACTTGGTCGTCTGATTCTGAGTGGGGGCATTGTTTTCACTGTATACGAGAAAGTTGCTGGTATTTTGAGCCGTTGAAAGATTTTGGTGTAGGTGGGCGAAGTGCTATAGGGAAATGCGGCACTAAATACACCTTTTATTAGTAGAAGAACATGCTTCTCTCACATCAGTATCACTAGAGTCTTCAAAGGAAGAAAAAGTGAAAGTCAAGGAGTATTTAGCGAGCTCCTTGGGATCCACGCATTCTTCAATCATTGCGCCTCCTGGTCAACTGCAATTGTCCCCCCATCCGTACCAACCTCAGGAACCCGTGATCAGGTCTAGTATAGTCTTTTATCTCTGGCGGACACTTCTGTCTTCCGAGAGACATGACTCATGAGACTGGCTCAAGGTTACTGGAGGCAAGTTGAATACGGATGAGTTGTAGTCAGCTGCAGGCAGTAGCACAGCAGAAGATGCAGTGGCGACACGGGAGACGGGAATAGTCGAAAAGCGAGAGGGGATCTTAGGGAATTCAACATTATTAGATACACTTGGATTCACTGTTATCTTCTACGTGAAAGAAGCCTACGCCGTGCCGAATCCTCTAGCTGACTTCCCGCGGGAGCAGGCCGCTTAGTCGCGTTCCCGTCTCACCCTTGCACGGATCATGAACTATGGTGACGCGGGGTAGTCTGGAGTCCCCGGATTGCCAAGTTTCCTATACAAGCTCACAGATATATTCGTTCACTAGTCTTCGTCGTACAAGTATAAAGCTATGTCATAGGCCGAAGGAATGAGAAATATCACAAACTCAACGACATCAACCGCGGTCGTTGACAATTTGTAGCTTCTGCAAACTTGGCCCAGCCTCACCACCACTTCTTCCAAGAAAGCAATCATGGTATCCAACAATGACAGTCGAGCGGTAGAGTGTGCTGGCAAAGATGTCACCAAGTTTCAAGAGCTCGAGGACCCCAAGTCTTCTGATCCCTCAGAGGAGAAGCTTGACCAGCAATACGACACAACCCCCAGAGATACCCAGAGCCGTTTCGAACATCTCCGAGAATTGAGCGATAACGAAATGGCAAAGTTGAACAAGAGCGTTGTACGAAAGATCGACATGAGAATGATGCCATGCATAACACTCATGTTTCTCATGAGGCAAGTCAAGCACTGTTGGGGGTTCAACAAAGCGGCCACGAACTAACACGATATCAACTCCTTAGCTATCTCGACCGCATTAATGTTTCCAACGCAAGACTAAGTGGGATGCAGGATAACCTCAACATGTCAGACACCATGTGGAACTTGGGTATTTCAACCTTTTACATCGGATACCTCATTGGGCAATTGCCTGGCAACTTGTGGCTGGCTAAAGCAAACCCAAGATGGTTTCTACCCTCAACCATGATAGCTTGGGGAGCGGCAACCATTTGCACTCCCGCCCTCAAGAGGTCAGTGAGAAATTCAGACAAATAACACGCATGAGGTGCACTGACTCCCAATTCCAGTGGTGCCGGTTTCGCCGCTCTGCGATTCTTCACCGGCCTGGCTGAAGCGCCATTCTTTCCGGGCATAACTTTGAGTATGTGCAACATCATCTCCCACAATAGCTAGCATTCGATCATTGCTGACGTTGACTAGTGACATCCTCCTGGTACACCAAGGAGGAAAGTCCTCTCAGGATGGCCATTTGGCATGCGGGAAACACCATATCCAACATAATCTCAGGCTTCCTTGCGGCAGGAATCCTCACTACAATGGGTGGTGTCTCGGGCCTATATTCCTGGCAGTGGTTCTTCCTCATCGAAGGCATCATAACGTTCCTGGTGGCTTTCTCTGCCTTCGTATTACTGCCAGACTGGCCCCACAACACGCGTTTCCTGACCCCTGAGGAGAGAGATATGGCGCAGTACCGTATTCTATGCTCCAATGGAGGTAAGGAGGAAGCTACAGGAGGCACCTGGGACGGTCTCAGAGACGCCGTCAAGGATCCATTCACCTGGATTTTCTGCCTTCTACACTTCTCCCTGGTAACGGCCCAGAGTTTCAAAGACTTTTTCCCATCGGTAAGTTAGCCCCCTGTTCTGCAAGTGTAATCTTGAGTTCCAAAGTAGACACAACTGACCTTGCCTAGATCGTCAACACCTTCGACTTTGGTGAGCTTACAACATACTTCATCCAGGCTCCCCCATATGCATTCGCTTTCATGTTTTCCTACGCCGTTGCCTGGTCTTCAGGTCGAAACCAGGAGTCTTTCTGGCATATAGTTCTGCCTACAGTTGTCAGTGCGGTCGGCTGTGCAATACTGATCTCTACCGTAAATGTTGGAGCTCGCTACTTTGGTCTTTTCCTCCTTATTTCTGGCACGTACAGCGGCCTAAACTTACAGTTGTCGTGGGAAACAACTGTCGTCCCCGCCCCTCGAAGCAAGAAGGCCGCTCTAATTGCAATTGCGAACTGCATCAGCCAAGTCAGCCACTGGTTCAGTCCCTACTTCTGGCCGCGTTCGCAAGAGCCGTTCTACAGACTAGGTGGCGGTCTTGTACTGGTGGGTTGTGGTCTGGTTGTAACGTCAGCTGGCCTGGCAAAGTGGCGTGCGACTCGGCTGAATAAGAAATTGGATGAAGCTGAGGGCTACTCAGAGAGCTCGGGGGTTGAAAGGGGTTGGAGATATGCGCACTGAGAGAAACATGAGATTGAGAACGAGCCGGTATTGTTACTTTTGCTCTCCCATGTATGTGTCTCTGGGGTTCCTGAGCCGAAAATGTTCCAGTCTTCAATTCCAAGAGAAATCAGGCAGCCTGCAGCTGCATCATACTTCGCAAGGTGTGGTCGACTCACAGATCACCGATAATGGAAGCGTTGGAGATCGCCAGCTGCGTGTGTCGTTGATCATGCAGGGGTTCGGTAAAAATAGGCAAAATGTCAAACCAGCTGAGATGACTGTCGCATTAGCTGCAATGCGTCTGCATACAGTCGTCTAAAAGCTTCCCCACCTCTCTCTTTGGCTAGGAACGTCCACCTATCAGGCCACCAAATACCGCAGCCGTAAGCCATGTGGCTCATCCAGACCCAGACTCTGAGGCTTCATGCCTTTATGCCTCCAGACCTGCCACCATACGCCATACTATCTCACACCTGGGGACCCGGAGAGGTGACTTTCCAGGAGTTCCCAGATCTCGAAGCCGCTAAAGGAAAAGCCGGCTATATCAAGATCCAGAAGACATGCGAGCTCGCTAGGAGAAACGGTCTGGAATGGGCATGGGTGGACACCTGCTGCATCGACAAGTCCTCAAGTGCCGAACTCTCAGAGGCGATCAACTCAATGTTCGAGTGGTACGAGCTCTCAGCTGTCTGCTTCGCTCATCTCGCGGACCTGCCGGTTGAGTCCCCCACGCTATGGATGTCCGAGTCTGGCGTTTACAAGCGCGCGTGTCGTTGGTTCGAACGTGGCTGGACCCTCCAAGAGCTCATTGCGCCCAAGAGGTTGGAGTTCTTCGACTGTGAATGGAACTCGCGCGGATTCAAGACCGACAGCTCCGTCCTGCGGCAATTGTCGGCCATGACCGGGATACATGGCAAGACTGCCCGAGTACTGAAGAACAGCGCAGCAATCACCGAGGTTTCCATCGCCGAGAGAATGTCTTGGGCGTCAAAGAGGCGCACAACACGGGTCGAAGACATGGCCTACTGCTTACTTGGTCTCTTCCGCGTCAACATGCCCTTACTTTATGGGGAAGGGTCACGAGCTTTCATGCGGCTTCAGGAAGAGATTCTTAAGAACAGTACCGATATGTCACTCTTCTGCTGGACCGCGCCGCCGGAAGCCTCGCAGCCGTACCGCGGATTGCTGGCCCGACATCCCTCGGAGTTTGCGTCGTGGTACGACACAGAATCCACCTCGCGAAAGTCCATCAGTTGGGCCATGTGCGAGCAAGAGAAGGAGTTTTCTTCAACAAACAAAGGGATTCGCATGGACGCGACCTTGGCAAGTTTCTTTGTTCATGGCGAGAACAGGACGTGCCTTAGATGTACGCTCTTCCCGGACGATTACGTCGTCTTCATACCGCTGCGATACCACCGGGACAATATCTACGTAAGAGAGCTTCCTACCACTATCATTCCCTCGCGCACAACAAGACACGAGCAGGAAACCATATACATCGCAAAGGACGTGGATGAGCGTATGTCAATCAATCTGCAGGCAAAGATGTCGGAGGCTTTGAGTATCGACAGGTCTCTACTTCCGGCCCACTTCTCGTTGGAAGTTACCGAAACCTGGCCCAAGAACCTGTGGCAACCTCAGCGACAGCAGTATGCCCTACCCGGATCTAAACTATTTAGCTGCATCACTTCATACAGCGTCTATTTTGGAACCGTCCAGGTCGGTGATGTGTGTCTCATTTGCCAGCGGCATTCTTCTGCACTGCAGCCTTTGCGTTACGCCTTAATCCCTTTGCAAGAAGCAACCGGCCGTGCCGGCATTATATCGCAGATAAAAGATCATGAGAGCAGTGGTGCAGGAGGACAGCCTGTTGAAGCTTTTAGTCTGATGGAGCAATTCATCATTGATGGTCGTCAGGCAGTGGACCTTTGGCACGGAGATGTCAGCTTCTCACTTTTCGTAACACGACACTCTGAGACTGAGGGGAGTGCGAACAAACTCTTTTTGAAGGTAACTTCCTTCCAAGATCTTCTTCATCCATTACCTGTCAGAGAAACAAAACCCATCTCTATCGGCGATAGTAAGGGGCCAGGTCATCGCCTCGAACGTGCTCCTCAGATAGGAGGAGACGGCGCTGTGGTGCAGCCACCGAAACGATCCGATATCGCGGAAGCGGAGCGGGAAAACTCAGGGTAATCCAGATTGAGTACATCTACTATACACATTGTAAATTTCGAAGCGTAAACTCTTCCAGCCGATGCTCCACTATACTCTACTCCAGCATGACAGCCATCCAAACCATCATTCCGAACTCATCGAGACCCTCACACCACTTTGCGACTCGAGACACAAGATGTTCCTCCTGGCTTCGATCTCCAGAGTCCACCCCCAGAGCCCTTCTAGCCTTTCGAAGATCCTGGATGCTCAGGACCCTATCATCGCCAGACACGGCTTGCATCTTCCTATATCTCGCAGACCACTCATCACCAGACACAGTTTCCCATAAATCTCTCCCCGAGGGCAGTGGCAAGAGACTATAGCCGCCGCAGTCCGCCGGTTCCTCGGCATTCAGGTCCACGTCCATCAAAAGCTCAATGCCAAATAAAAGGCAGATTGTCCTTTAATCCATCCTGTTAGCGAAAATTCTCAGAATAATGCGATCTAGTAAAACCTGCCTCCTGGTACTCTCGCGGAGGACCCAGCCTCGACGGTCCAGCTTGAGTCTCTTGGCTAGGTCGAGCTCGTAATCTAGTGTCATGTGCAGCGATCTCGCTAGCAGCTACTCGAGTCAGTAAGAGCACTGTGCTGTCTCCTGGCATCTTACATTAGGCAATGCTAGTAGCGCTTTGATATCGTGTTCTGGTATTGATTGGAGGTCATTTGCTTGGAGCAGCAGATATATGACGACGGCCTGGAGAGCTTGTAACAGCTGTTCGCAGTCATAGGAAGAATGCTTCTCAAACCAAACGTTAGCCAGTGAGACGTCAACTCGTTATTGGATGCGAAACTCCCACCTCACGCCTGATCTTGCCTACTTCACTGTAGATGCTCCTCCACACGAAAGCAGCACTTCCTGGAGTCCTCTGATCGAAGCTTTGAACGAGGTTGCAACATATGGCTAGCGGTTCTGGAAGGCACTGGTGAAGCTCCTTGCCGCAACACCGAGTTGTTGACGCCAATCCATCGATGACACAGGGTGGGAATATGAAAGGCGGCAGCCGACCACCCTTGACCATCATAATTGGATAACACAGTATCTGGCCGAGGAGCACTCTAGCTGTGAAACACGTTGCCACGGTTTTAGTGATTCGTGGGGCGAGGGGTTTGTCTTGATAGAATGGCCGGACTTTTCTTGCCGGGCAGTCCCTGAAAGCCCTGTGCAACTGGATTTCACTTGAAGGGGTTCCGTGATCTTCATAGGCCGAATGTTCCATGGCGCCCAAAGCAACCAGGTCCTCTGGTATGAATAGGTGCGAGCTACTTCGCTGCCACGGAACTCCAACGCCGTCAAGCACCGTCTGGCGTTGTTGAGGTAAGTCGAAGCTCAAGGAGAAAGGGGCCGGATCTAGGAGTTGCCTCTGAAGACCAAGCTCAGAGTCTACAGAAATTCCAACAGTCTCTGTCGATAAGAGATTCGTCCAGTCCATTGATGGTTCCCGGTCGGGACGGAAGTGGACCTCTGGAAGCAGGCCTGCTTGCTCGTTCTCAACGCGGACCCGTGATTCCGTGCCCGTGGGTGACTGATCCAGCCCTCCCTGAACACTGCGGTCATTGATCAATTCGACTGGACGTAGTAACCGGTATCCAGCTGATTGCTTCGGCACGTGGTCGTATCTGCACCTCAAATCCCTTTCCTCGCACCGCCGGCATGGTGTCCCGAGTGAACACCGCGCTTTACTGGTCCGGCATAGAACGCAAGATTTCTTTCGACTGGTAGCCAACGTCATTCCGAATTGAACCCCAAGGAAATAAATTATCTGGTCCCGTAGGCAGAAAGATGAGGGCAAGTTGCGCGGAGAATCTAAGTTCATCTTGACCTGGTTCAATCTGTCGGTTTGTCATCACTCCGCGGAGTTCCAGCCAATCAGTGATGACCGGCTTGCCAAGTCCGGAAGCCACCCCACTACGCCGCTCCTCGGGACGGATGGTGCTATTACGGGCGCAATCTAAAGTTCGACTGAGAGACTTCTTGGGTTGAAGCGATATCTTGGCCCGGTAATAGTATGAAGCCGCACATACGCATGTTCGGAGTTCCGTCGAATCGGAGATTTCATTTGTGAAGCAGGCGTTGAATTAACTGCATCATGCCCGCCGGTGGCCGCTTATAAGAGCCGCTAGATGTCATTGGTAGACTACCTGGTTGAAGGTCAATGGGCTCTTAGAAGATATAAAGAATGATGCCGTGAGAGCCGAATTACTGTTCAAAAACATCATCGCAATCTCAACCACCATCGTTTGCTGAATAGAAGACTTACAATAAACTCATACTAATCTTTCCCTTCACCCAAACCTCTGAACAGCAGTCATGGCTCCCATCAGAGTAGGCATCATCGGACTATCCGCCAAGGAGGCAGTAATGGGCCCTGGAGCTTGGGGCTCCATCGCCATCCTCCCCTCCTTCAAGAAATCGCCAGACTACGAGATCGTCGCCCTCTGCAACTCCTCCGCGGAAGCAGCCCGCCGCTCCATCGAGATGCACAAGCTCCCGAGCACGACCAAAGCCTACGGCGACGTCGAACAGCTAGCCAGCGACCCGGACGTCGACCTCGTCGTCGTCAGCGTCGTCGTGACCAAGCACCTCGCAGTCACTCTCCCCGCGCTTGCCAACAAGAAGCAAGTCTTTGTCGAGTGGCCTCTTGGTGCTTCGGCCCAGGAGGCAGAACAGCTTACGCAGCTGGCCAAGTCCGGGGGCCTCAAGACTATCGTTGGTCTTCAGGGTCGCTCCGATGCTCTCACTCTCAATTTGAGGGATATTGTTAAGAGTGGTGAGATTGGTGATATCAAGAGCACTTCTGTTGTCGGTACGCTCCCCTACTATCCTCCCGGCTTCTGGGTTGAGGGCACGGAGTACTACCTCGACATCAAAACCGGAGGTAACGCGTTCCACATCGGCTTCGGGCACTGTAAGTCACTCCAGCTTTGTTGTCAACTTTGGTTGAATTTTTGATGCTGGCGACTGATCTTTTCCTGGAACACAGTCCTGGACTCGTTCACAAATGTTGTCGGCGACTTCGACCTCAGCAGCCTGTCCTCCGTCCTCAAGAGCGACGTCGACACCGTGCAACTCTACAAAGCCGACAGAAGCAGCTTGATCAACGCTTCGTATCCAAAGTCCTCCCCCGACCACATCTTGGTCCAAGGCATTCTGCAAAACGGGGCACCGGCCTCGCTTACCTTCCGAACCACTCCGGCCGCAGCTAGTGAGGTCGGCGCTCGCTGGATCATCAGCGGCACCAAGGGCGAGATCGAGGCAGTCTGGGACGGAGGTCAGTGGCAAATCCACAACCTTAGCAAGAGCCTCAAGTACAAACTGCTCGAAGGGGAAGAGCAAAGGGTTACTCTCGAGAGCGGCAAGCTTCCCGCGGGACTTGAGGTTTCGGCCACGGGATTGAACACGGCTCTCGTCTTTGATGCCTTTTCTAAGGGCGATACTTCGCGGTATGCGGATTTCGAGACGGCTCTGAAGAACCACATCTTGTTGGAGGAGATTCTGAAGGTGTCGGGATACAAGTATTGAGACAGTACTTGCTTATCTTCTTGGTTCCTGTGGACGATGCAAGGTGGTAGCTGATCGTCACATTGGGCAATGATGATGCAGCCTCAGGGTCTTCGCCACTCATAGATACTATCCGAACATGGCTACTATTCTTTCATACTTGACGTTGTGAACGAGAAGTGATCTGAAGTTGACCGCCGGTGGGCCGCAGTACGATTTCGGCACCGATGCCGACGCCGGCGTTGGCGCCCGAAATGTGGATCCCGTGACAAATCTCCTCCGAGGATCTGACTCGGAGCAAGTGCCGAGACTTCACGACTTCATTCACATTAACGAACAGCTCACAGTCGAATTCTTGTTCGCAAGCTCGATTGTCGTTGACCGAAGCTACTCGTTCTGTTGCAGGTCAAGCCCAAGTAACACAGAACGACCATCATTCAACATGAGAGAAGAAGACTTGCAAGGTCAGCCCTACATCCCCAACAACACATAGCTCGTAGACTTACACCCAATCCAGGATCCGGAGGTGCAATCGCCGGTGCGCCAGAAGGATTGACAACCCCAAGCGCAGACAAGGCCAAACACATCGCCATCCTAGACACAGATGTAATGGTCACAGCCGTCCAAACCCTCTACGGGCAATACTACAGCGCCCAATACATCAAACGCCTCACCGCCGCGGCGACCCGCATCGCAGCCTCCCACCTCGCCACCTTTACGACCTGGGACGTCGTCGCAGGCCACTACCCCAACCCGGCAGACGTCGACGCCATTCTCATCACGGGCTCCATCGCCGCCGCCTACGACACGGAGCCCTGGGTCCTCGCCCTCGGCGACTTCATCCGCCGCGTCTACGAGCACCATCCCACCGTCCGCATCTTTGGCACCTGCTTCGGCCACCAGCTCATCGGCAAAGTCCTCCTCGAGCCTCACGGCGCCATCGTGGAAAAGGATCCCAACGGGTACGAGTTTGGCGTCCAGACAATCTCGTTGAATCCGAAACTCGTCGAGGATTTTCCCTGCCTAGCCGCCCTCGCGCCCATATCGACAGACTCAAACCAGACCGCAGACTCCCTTTCATCACCCCCTCACGGCCTTCGACTGCAAATGTGCCACGGCGACCACGTAGCCCTCTGCCCGCCACCGAACCCCCCTCTCCCAGGAATCTGGCAAAACATCGGCGGCAGCGCGCACTGCAGAGTCCAGGGCCTCTACGAGCCCTTCCGGGTCCTCACGATCCAGCCTCATTTCGAGTGCGACCAGGTCATCATGGAAGAGACCATTAAGCACTTTTACACGCCCGCCAAGGGCTTCTCTCCAGAGTTTTTGCAGCGCGCGTTCGATGCGACGAGGAGGGAGGACGACGCGGGGGTTGCTGCGGAGTGGGTGTTTCGATTCTTGGTTGGGATCTGATGCCTTGGGGTATGTTCTATATTTACCTTTCATGGACGTATTCAGAAGAAAGACAAGAAATGATTATGTCGCGAGTGATATTTGGATGATTGGTCTTCTTGATCATGATGGGTTGTGGCACATTGCGAGGTTGTGGTTCAAGGGGTTCCGATAGAGCCCTGTCACAAATGCGGCCCAAGTTGTAGAAGTCTCTCGGAATTCTAGGAATGGAAGAAGCATGGGGAGCAACGATCAGGCGGTCTGCGATGCGACCGTGGCGACATCGGGGCTCCTAACTACAGTACAACAATTATGCGCGGTAGATCCTGTGAATAGCCTAAGGCGCAATCTACGAGGGGATGTCAGGGCCAATGCTTGCGCTGGATCAAGTTGGCGAGATAAGAAGGGCCCCGTCAGGCAACTTGCAACTAACTTGCCAAGACCGCTGTGGAATGGCTGATCATCCCCACCCGGTGACAATAGCCATAACTCCAGAGATCGCCGCCGCTCACGAAAGATCATAAGCATGTATGACGCCCGTGAGGTTTGGTTGTTGGGGAGAGACAATTCTCAGGAATACCCTCAGTCGACCAAATGTTGTCGCGTAACGGCTATTGGTGGCCAGGAGCTGCCTTCAACACCAAAACCGTCGAGATGACACTCGTGAAGTCTCGACGACATTGGAGGTCCTCGGGCCCCGAAAGCACGAAGCAAACTTCCTGTAGTTCCAAATATCTATCCAGTACAAGCAGCTTACCACTACCTACGTTGATTGCGTTTGTAAACCTGATGAGACAACCCTCTTGAATACATCGAGTTTAGTTAGCGTGGCGCTGCAAATGCAGGCTGCGCAGTTTATGATAGGCAGCCTCGCGTCGAGTTGGCACTCCGCGGTTTGCCCACATGCATGCGTTCTGCCATAACAGAGCGGGGTTGTTCGCCGAGTCTTGGGGGCCTGCCTCCGTCGTCCATCTCCCACCCCCTCTCATATCATCTCTTTATTCTCTGGATGCCTGTCATGTCACAAGAACCTCCCGAAGACGAAATTCGTTACACTTGGACTGGCCGCGGACGCAGTCGTTCGCCTACAGATCGAAGCGCTTACGTCGAAGACACATACGAATCAGATTCGGCCGACGGAAACCAGAGAGAGCATTCGCCAGGCTACGCCGAATTCGATTATAGGACCGAACCTGATTACGAACGTGTACCGCCTCCTTTGAATGCGACAGATCGGGGCGACATACCCGATCATTTTGTGACTCCAGGAGTATATGAACCGTATCGTAGGCCTCGACAGTCCGACTATTATGCTTCAAGAAGCTTTCATGCTGGTAATACAAGACGACGAAGCGCGTCGCCTAGGGAAAGATTGACTCGCTTCGCTGACAGAGTATCATTTTCTGAAGATGCAGACCGAGACGGATCAAGGTCTGCGTCAAAGGCTGCTAGCGATATCACTTCGGCCTCGGACAGGTCGGACACCTACCCGAAAAAAGGCAAAACTCGTATTCCGATCCGCCTTGTATCCAAGAGAGCCTTGATAGACTTGGGTTATCCCTTTATTGAGGAAGGAAACACAATAATTGTCCTCAAAGCGCTTGGGCAGAACAACATTGACGAACTCCTTAAAGCCAGTGAAGAGTATAAGCGCGTGGAGCTCGAAATTACTGGACAAGATCATTCGTCAGCTAATACCCCTCCGGTAGAAGTCATCGCGGTTGATATCGAGCCACTGTCTGACACTGATGGGACAGCCCCTGGCCCGCGAGATGGCACCTCGCTCGACTCTGCCCATAACCGATACGCTACATCCCCGACTGTCGGTGACAATGGCGCGGAGTTAGGTGGTCTTCGGAACGGCCAGAGGTACCAAGGGAGCAATCAAGTGCATCTGTCTGGTGTTTTCAGTCTGAATCCAAGTGATCAGCCTGTTGAAACCCAAGTCTCCAGCTCGGAACTATCAGAAGCACAGAAGGCTTGGAATACACCAAAATCATGTATCGAGAACGGAACCGTAACCACGGAGTTGATAAACATTCATGCCGCCGAGCACTACATGGGCCAAGCAAGTAAACACAAGGTCACTCTTTACTGCCCGAACTCACCACATTCGGCGAAGTTCAACGCATCCAAACTTCGAATGCGGTGGCTGTGAGTATATTTCTTCTTTATCAGCTGACACTACGCTGTGACATCTCTAAGCTGAAGGTTTCTCGTTATAGCCACCTCGAGGGACCTGCCACAAAACTTCGAGCATTCGAGGTGAGTAATCTCTGTCATCTCTTCTTGAATGAGTTCCATAGACAAGGGACAAATCATGACCGTGCCATAGAACTTGGTTGCCGACTGTCCTTTCATCAACCATGAGCTTAGGGCCGTTGCACTCAACGTCTTAGTCGAAGCATTTCGGCGATGCAAGAGACCCTCTGAACTAGGTTCTGAAATTGAGCCTGGAGCTGTCATTCGATACATTGGAAGGCCTGACAGGTTTGCTGGAAGATACCGTGGTAGCCCTGTGTTTGATACTGAAGCAGTTGCTTTTCTCTCAGTCCCTTTCCTCAACTTATCAAACAGAATCTCTCCAGTAGACCGTGCAAGCTACACAAGCACCATATTAGAGTATCTTTACGGGTACGACGCTGGAGTTCTAAGACACGCTCACGCTAGTGGACAGGGCGTCATGCTGGAAGAGGAGCTTGTGCCACGGACAATCCGTGTACCGCAAATGTGGTCCCTAATTATAGGATCAAGTAAGCACTGATATCAAGTTCTCATCTTAGTGCCGACTATGCACAGGATTCGTCCATGTACTGTTGTACTGATGAAACTTTATCATAATAGACTTGCTTATCACCTTGTCTCAGCTAGACCTTCAAGAAGTCATTGCAGACAGCATTCTTCTTGAAAGGAAAACGCTTGGTGATACTCCTGGTGTATACACTGTTCGGATTGTTGATGAGACCAATGTTTATCGGTATCATATCGTCATCGACAAAGACTGTAACTATGCGGTAGGCGCGAGAGTCCGATACCGATCTGAAAAGCTTATTGCCACCATACCATACTGACTTCCAATTCATAGGAGTTCCTCAAGCATGCTGCAGCTTTGGCCTTGTCATCAGAATCGGATCTCTCAACGTACTCGCTTGTAAATGAGAATGGTGATCTAGTCAGTCCGAGTGATTGGCTGAGTTTTCTCCAAACTGGAGAGGTAGAGGATCGTGTCTTTGGTTTGAGAACGCAAGCGGCACAGGCGAACACAAGCTCAGATGAGTATCGGGCTTTTACCATGAAGCTTCTGATGGATGTACCGAACAAGCCCTATCGAATCAAGGAGAAGTCGATCCAGTAAGTTACAACCGTTTTCAAAGGATCTCATACTACGTTTGGGTGCATGGCTTTTAATTGAGGATGTGAATAGATCTCGGAACTTTGAGGAGAATGGTCATGCGGAATCCAAGGCCCTGACCATATACCACCCCCCCGAGCCCAGGACCTCAAAGCAAAAGGAGAGCCATCACTCTGACGGCAATGATATGAAGAGCTTAGTGGTTTTCGACCCTCGGAGACTTCCTGTAAGAAAACAATCAGCCGAAGCTCACCGAAGGCCTGAAGAGAAATCTGTAACGCTACGGTCGACCATGCCTAAAGCCGCACAAACAAGCCTGAAAGCAATACCTGAGCTCTATGAAATCGAGAATGAAGTAACAGAAACTGATTTATTTGCTGACGAGAGGGTGAGGAATAAAAGATCTCTCCCAAAATCATCGAAAGACCGGCTAATTTGAAGATAGATGAGTGTCTTCAATCATACACCGGCGGGCCCTGCTTCTCATCCAGGCAGCTTCAAACCAGGCTACACGAGGACCTTAGGGGAATTTGTGGGAGCTTCGAAGCAAGATGCCAAGGCGGGGGTTTCAGAGGCAGACAAAGAAATTCGCGAGTCAAGTCATGGCGAGAAGAGGTTGAGCTTTCCTCGACTAGGAACCGGCCCGCCAATCGCAGACGTACCCACGCATGACTGCGCAGCACCCAGTGGCGATGAACCCACGGAGCCGAGATCTGTATCTGAGAAGAGTTCGATGTCCGATACCAATCAGCAGTTCCGGGAGGAGGGCAGCTCCGAGTTCCCTCTACGTATAGCAAGCCCTATCAAGCCACGCATAGTTCCTTTCTTGACTTGGAGACTATCGTGGAGGGATGATGAAAGAAACGACATGGATGTTGAAAAGAACCTCAAACAAATTCTCGACAGGTTAGATCGGTCTTTGAGGTCTCGAGTAGTGGGAAGCACCTATCTAGGAGGCTTATCATCGACACCGGCAACTGTTGCTGGCAAACTTGTTGCACTTTGCAGCGAACCTGACAAGACTCCAGATTCGTTCATGTTTGACGCAGGCGACACCGAACTGAACTCAGGATCCCCATTTGCTGAAATGATGATGTCCCAGGATGTGCAAGATCAACACTACCACAAGTGAAGGTCCCGTGGGAAATAAAGAAGCCACTGCTACAGAAACCGGCAGTGGCCAACAACCGCAAGACTACTCTCGAAGTCTCGACATGGCATCCTTGAAAAGTCAGAGCGACCAAACGAGGCGAAGCGAACTTATGATGGCGGTCCATTTAGCATCTTCGGACATACTGAGATCGTTCTTGCCGACCTTGGGCAGTCATGCGAAGCACCAATTGATCTGCAGGTTTTGGGGTGCACTTGACACCATCATTAGAGTGAGTCCCCTCTAGCATAGGCAGCGATGGAGAGTTCAAAAGCGATGGTTGATACTAAAACTAGATTTCTATCAAAGCAAATCCATCTGTCGACACTGAGTCTTGACACCGTTCATCATTCTTCATACATTGTGGTGTTACCGAAGATACCAGATAATCTCGCAAGCACAATGTCTGAAGGACATGTATTTCAGAAAGGAGACTGTGTTCAGTGTAATGAAGACTGGACGTACACATCATTAACGGCTGCTTTGCATCACCTCCACTCAGCCCACACGAACTGTCCTTTGGAGGCATCGACCAACAACATCTTCGAAGATCCATGCACTGCTTTTATCAAAGAAAGCTCTTCTCAAACAGAGACCTTCACGAACAACGAAACCACGTCTGCTTGCCACAGCTTTTATACCTCTATCAACAGCATCAACAAAAAAGTTCAGAACATTCACTGTTCGGTGAGTGGCACCTCGGACGAGAATGGAACAAGAAATCTCCGACCCCATCTATTAACCAACTTGGTCCATGCTTTTGAGGAGATTGTTGCCAAATTTGTTGTGGCAGGCAGGTTCTTGAAACAGAAGAATCTAGCTCGTCTCCAGATACCGGATGATCGAGATGGAGTGGCACTGGTTCCGCTCAATGCTCTTGAAGCCTGGGAGAAAGAGATTGACGACAAAATCACCGAGCTCTTAAACTTAGCGAGGCGAGACGTCATCATTCTCGGCACCAGCAAGCGCGATATTGACAGGCTCATCATTGCTCCAGTTGGTCCGGAGTGTCTACTCGCTACAATCATCGCCAATGTCGAGAATAACACCATGCTGCAGGGAAATCACCGGAGAGTAGATATCATAAGGTACTACAGAAAATTGACGGCTAGGCTTCGATTCGGAGCTATCTCAGATCCGAAGAGGAAGCGATTTCTGGAAATTTCGGCTCTGGAAGAAGAGCTCGAGGCGCTCCGCGCATTGGTCCATGTGCAGAGACGGCTGACAATAGCATACCGAAATATTCTGGACCCTGCTGGCTTCGACTCTATTCAAACGGACTGGAGCTACCTCAAAGATCGGCATGCCATGTTTCGCCTGGAGAGAACTCTTCTCAACTCACAAAATCAAAAGCTTGCTGAAGATGACGATACACTGCGCCGGTTACAAATGATTGCAAGCGGGGTGAGGAACAGTCTGAAGCAGAACATTGAGATTCTCGAAGAGGGACATGGGAAGGCAATTCGAGTATTCACTATTGTCACGCTATTTTTCCTCCCTTTGTAAGTTCGCCCAAGGATGTCTATACAGAGACGTGCCATGCTTCGACCCTGTGTGGCGCGGTTTTCATTACTTCAACCTTCAATCGGGAACTCTAGTCTAACATGAATGGACCGAACAACAGGTCTTTTGTCACGAGCTTCTTCGGCATGAACACGAAAGACGTGAGAGACATCGACTGGGATCAAAAATTGTTTTGGATGTCAGCATTGCCGGTGACAATTGGAGTGATGGCCACGGCATTCGTCTATGGGTACAAGTGGGATTCTGTTGCGAGCTACCTTAGTGTCATCTTTCCAACCCAAAAGGCGGTTTCCCCGCGGCATATCTCCAGGGATGATATGATGCCGTTGATGGAAGACAAGGTTGAAGACAGGACATCACATAACTCGCCGGCTGGGGAAACGCCCCGATCGAGGTGGCCCGAGAGGTTATCACATAGGATCACACGTCGACAGGGTAAAACTGGACGGGGGATTCCGCGACGGCAGACGGGGGATAGCCTTTTGATCTAGCACTTTCCAGTATTGAGTTCATCTCACTTCAATCTCATGTACGCGGTCACCAGTCTATCACTGTGATGGTAGTATCAGTCAGAAATTAATGATATTGAGCTTCCTGTTTTCCACAGTGAATCTCCACCCACACTTAGATCGCTGAGAAGACATGAACCCCCTCGGGATAAAAGTCGACCCAACAGTCCAGTCATGAGCCGCATTAAGCTTTAATGATAATAATGCCATTCCGGCTTTAGTTTTAATAGCTTCGTAACGACCAGCGACTACTTGGTGTTGTATGTCTACCAGCTTTTGCTTCTTTTGCTGACGGAAGTGTCGAAGTGTCTGGTGGGACACCTCGTTTTGCTCTTCAGATCCCGTTTTCACTGGAATCACGCTCAGAGACATAAACGGAGTCCAACTTTAGAAAGTTGACAGGCACCAAAAGCAATGTAAAGCCCTAGGCTCTAATGCCATGAATCACTAGAGTTGGTTCTTGTAAATATGAGGCCGTCCTTGATACCAGGAGACGGGAGTGGTAGGTAGAGGCCAGGGATCGTGTACCTAAGCTGAGCCAAGAGGAGACCAGCGGAATTGAATAAAGCTTCAATTGCTGATCGGACTTCACCAGATGCGCCGTCTCCTGCGTCGTTTATTACGTCTTCTAGTGCCTGTCTCAGTCACTATGTCACCGCGTTTCTGGCGGCCGGCATTAAAGTTTTCGAGGAAAAGACCTTTCCAGCTTTCCCCCTCTTTTTGGTTCGCGAGAACATGTCTTAGGTCGCTTCCTGTGACGGGATAGGGAACCCGAATCTTCAGGAAATCGCGTAGAGCCCGAAACTCATTTCGCCCCCGGCTTGCGAATTGCGCGGCGACTTGCTCAATACGGAGCAAATGGAGTTGGCGCTCATCCCCTTCCCTAGAGGTCAGAGTTAATCAGCCGACCTTTTCAAATTCGGGAATGGAGTGCGTATTGTGTCCATAGGAAGACGACTCTCACATATTGCGCCTACTCATGGATATAGCAACCAGTGTCCCTAGCACTTACAGCTTATATAGGCCATCTGCATATTGTGGTCTCATCAGACCGTGGAGGTCCCGAATAGAATGCGCTTTCGCGAATATCAACCAGGATTTAATCCGGGGATGTTCAGCAATCCGCGCCAAAGAGTTGAATTCCACAGCAAGTACTTCGTTGTTTGGAATGGCTCTGTGTAAAGCTCTGTGGCAGGGTTGGCACAGTTGCAGCAACTCGTTCATCTCTTCAATGGTGAATCGGTCGCGATCACGTTGAGTTCGCGGAATGACATGGTGTCTTGTGATTTGATGAGTCTTCCGTTCGCAGAGGTCACAAAACCCCGGAGCTACATTGCCTTCATCCAGGTGCGTAACAAGTCCTTTCAGCCAGTAGAGCCAATTCCGGATAAATCTGACTTCATGATGGTGTTCAACTCTTTCCGTTATCAGTTCTGCTAGGATATAATCGAAATCCCGTAAGGCTTCCTTGGCTATATTAGAAGGGTGACTTTGTTGCATGGCCTGGAAATTAGCATATCTTTCCATGAGACGTTCTTCGGGGCTAGGTCCTCCTGCGCCAACTTCTTTTATACGGCGTTCTAGTATGCGAAATTCTGTAGCGCGACGTTCGTTTGCTTGACGTGCTTTTTCGTGAGCGCGACGTTCTTCTTCGCGGAGTTCTTTCACACGCTTTTCTGCGTTGCGAAAGTTTCTCATGCGACGCTCTTCTGTACGGCGCTCTTGCTCTTGTTCGTGACGTTCCTTTGCGCGACGCTCTCCCACGTAGTCTTTTATACGGCGTTGTTCCTTGAGACGTTGTATTGTGTAGCGCTCTTCTGCGAGACGCTGCTCTCCGCGAACGGTCTCCTGTGAATGACATTTTTGCCCTTCCTTGATGGTAGCATGCTCCTGCTCATTGACGTCCCAAGGCAACGGCTTCACAGGCTCCTGGAGCTGGACGGATAGCGCTTTCTCTCTGTGCATTATCGTCGAATCCTCTTGAACCGCTGCCTTGTGTCGGCCTGGCTGTGTTTGTGATGATGAGTCTTCGAAGTCTTCTTCGCTCGGGTTGGGCCCGGGGGCTTTCATAACCGGGACTCCCCTCTCGCGCGATAGTCTATCGATGAGGGCGGCGGCTTCTGCCTGGGTGATGAATCCGGATCGAGCGCGGACCTTGGGAGCCGGGGTGACTTTGGCTGGCGAGGCATCGAGTTCGTGTAGGTTTGAGATCGGCGGCAGAATTTTTTCATGAGTTTTCGGTGTTGGTTCGGGGTGTACTTTAGAACCGGAAATAGCGTCGTGACTAGGAGAAAGGCAAGCGGGTGGTGGAAGTGCATCTGCTTCCTCTTCATTGCCTGTCGTTTTGGCGATTTCATGATCGTCCTTCTTAATGTCTTCGAGAAATGATCCCCAGCTCCTAGTTCCCGTTCCCGCGGCCCTCTTGGGAGCGCCTCTCCGGGATTTGATGCTTGTTGCCGCCCTGGCCCTTGCCTTTTCTCGTTTGCTGATTGAAGTAGACACTGCGTTCAGTTGATGTTGTGTGCTTGATGGGACAGGGCGTTCTGTTGAAAGACGGTTCAATTGACCGTCTTCTTGAAGAGACCCCGAGTCCAAGGCAGATGCTTGGTGGCCATCGTCCTTCTCCATCTCGCTTTCCATCGCCTTGGCTTCCGTCCCTTGGGCTTTAACCTCCTCTGATATCTCGCCAACATCCCTGGACAATGAAGTCTCCGGACTCAAGTCCACACTTCCCTCAACGACAGGGTCGAGGTCGAGGTCGGCGAGAAGACTCGACCCATATTCATCGTCCACGAACAGCCTCTCACCCCCTTCAGGGAGGGAAACCAAAAACTCCTCGTCCTCAACTTCCCCAGAAGCCGCCACACCCTGCTCCTGATGAAACCCCCCCCATTCCCCACCCCTCTCGTGTGCCGGAAGCGAATTACGCTTCCATCGCGGTGCCGGCGCCCCAGCCTTTGCCCTCGGCTTCTCCAGTGGCCTTAAAAGCGGCTTCGGCTTGGGTGGCGAATTCGGGTCAGGGGCCGGGCCTTGGACCTGTAACGCGTGAAAGGCGCCCCATTGCGCTGATGCCGGTGGTGGCAGGCTCTGGTTCGCGCTTTTGCTTTGAGGTTTTCTTCTTGACGCTGCTGCCGTTGTCGTCTTCATCTTTAATGATGGTATCGAACCAGAGGCGGTCCCTTTACCGCTTGTCGGCGTAGGGTCCCTTTTGACGACCTTTGGGGTTGGCCTGGCTTTAGCGATTTGGCTACCAAAGGAGCCCCAGGCTGACGGGACGTTTGGCTTTTCCGGTGGTTGATAACATGCCGGTTGAGAATCAGAGGCTCCAGCTTGGTTGGTTCCGTTGCCGTGTTCGACGATAATGGGAGCACCGCCAGAGAGCGGCAAACGCGAGTGCTGCGCGCCCTCATCTGAAAGCCGAGGTGCCTCTGCACCACAAAGGGAGCAGGAACACGTGAAGAACCGGACAGATAAGCCATGATTTGATTGAATCTGATATAATAGTCAGCAATTATTCACTTTCATATGCTTGAGGCTTCTCAATGGCTCGATACCGAACCAGCATACCTGTTCGGCGCGTACCAGGCTTCGTGACGTGATGGATCGGGCCACCGTTGACAAGATATACATCTTTACCGGGTTAGCAGCGGTTCAGACGAGGAAACCACCGGCTGCACACATCGAAAAAAAAAAGCAACTGAGTGGGTTCCAGCGAAGTATCATGGCCGCCGTGCGTGATGTACAGGATATTTGGCTTGTTGAACGGTATTCATTTGGCAATTTCTGATTTGCGTGTCATCGGTAAATCGCCATCACAGTTAGTTGTTGTCCTATGTACGGTGTTCATACTGTGTTGGCCCTCAGGCACTATGTCTCAACCCTTGATCTTCAATGACATCGAATGAGTGACGGTATCGCAGCAGCATGGCTTCCAAGAAATGAGCAAGACCATGAGCATCAGTTCGGCTCAATCAATTTGACAAGCTTCATCTTACAAGTTACAGCACAATTCTCAAGGCTCTGCTTGACATCCGCCAACCACTGTACAAAGTGTAGTCTCGAATTAAACAACCCAACAACGCAGTTGCACCCCCGATCATCAAAAGAGAAGTTTATAGCTTCTCAGGTGAACCAATGGTATTATACATCTGAAAACTTTCTGGGTGCCTTTCCATTTACAGCGTCATCATCAAACTCCATCCTGATCCCATTTCCCAAATGCCGTCCTTCGTTTGACTACCTGTGAGGCAACGTCCGCTCGTGCTTGCGCTTGACACCCGCGACACGTCCAATGCAATCCTAGTACACGGGCGTATTGTCCGCGTCGGCCAGCCACAAGGACGCCAAATCCCTCGAAAGACCCAATCGAAGTATGCGAAGCACGTCGTCGGCCGACGCGCCCGCCGTGAGTCCCGATCTCCAGTCCCAGCCGCGTTTCGTCTTGGCAAGAGAGGAACCACTGCCGCTGCCGCCGCTGATGGATCGGTGAAGTTGGCTGGCTAGCATGGAGCTTCCGCTGAGCATGTAGCTGCTTCCGCTGAGCGAGTTGGTGCTCTTGCGCATCAAGTCCGCAGGCGTGGAACCCTTCATTCCTGGTGTCGAGGCCAGGACAAGCTTGAAGAACTCGTCTGCTGCGTTGAAGATGGTAGAGTTGACTGTCTGAATGTCCTCAACAGCCTTGAGGAGCGTGTCCATCTGGTCGAGCGTAATGACTGAGGGGTTTTGGTTGACAAACGGCAAGGCCTCGCCCAAGAGAGCGAGAATGAAGTCCTCGCTAACAACGGCGTCGCGGGTTTCATCGTAAAGGCCTCCCCGAATGTTGTCATCCGAGCTAGCGATGACAGCAACAAGGGCGGAGGCAGCTTGCTTCCGGAGAGTGGCAGACTTGTAAGGGGACAAATCCGCGAGTCCGTCAGCGTCACGAAGCTCGTAGAATTTTCGGAGCGTAGCGTAACCACTCAGCATCCGCCCGAGAAGGTTCGCTGCCTCAAGATCTTGCTTGGCATACTTCTCGAGGGTTTGACTGCGCTCGTTCAGAAGTCGGTAGAGGTGGTCGTCCAGGTCGTTGGCAGGGGGGTAGACCGTGGAGTGGAGCAAAGAGTACGACATGAGAAGGTTGAGCACCTCGCGGACCTTTCCTGGTCTATGGGCCAGGGCGTAGTACCAAAGAGCCTCTCCGTATCTGTGAGAGTCTTTGCCGAGAATGTCTGCATAGGTCTGGTAATTGGTTAGCGCGGTGAAAAGCAGGGTTCGGCAAATTCTATACATACCTCTGCGGTCTCTTCGGCATAGGAAATCATGCCGAGATCGTTGAGAATCCTCCAGACCTTATCTACAGTGGCTCCTTGTTCAGAATCGAGCTGGTCTAGGATATCCCGAAGCAATTCTCCGACCATGTCCTCTGATTTCGCAGCTGAATCCATCCGGCCAAGGACCTGTATCGCCATCTCCCATCCGCTGCGATCTTCCGAAAGGCTCTCGATTCCGGCCAGTTCGCGTGCGTAATGTGTAAGCGTAGTGTCTTTGATGCCCTCTACATCGTCGGCAGTCTGAGGAGTCACTCCCAACATCTCCAGATCCTCCATATCCAGGCTCTCCATCGTAATCAAGTTGGGCTGCTCGGGCTTAGGTAGCCACTGACCAAGAGAGGCAAGTTCTGCCACCGAGGAAGCAATGGGAAGTGACCATGCACGAAGGATTCCGATGACAGCCGCAAAGTTTGACTCAAAAGCAGAAGCGATGGCAACCTCAACAGGGTTCATGGAGTTGAAGTGGAAGTCCGACTCAACCGCAGTATGGAAAGCCAGCGACAGGCGTTCAAAGTAGCTCTCCGGGGTGGCAGGCGTAGCTGTCATGCGGAGGCCATGGGAGCGGGACATGCGCAGGCTCCTCTGCTGCCCTCTACCTTCCTCCCACCATCCAAAGAGACCAATCGTGGCTTCACACCAGTCCTGTGCTGTATCCAGGATAGCCTCTGGCGTTCCCATGATGATCTGGTAAATGGTCTGGAGGTGTTCGTAGATGTCCCATGGAACCTGGCCCTCGGCTTTCCGCACGAGGCCGGCCAAGGAACCCCTTCCGTATGAGCTGTCATCACTATCGCCAGCGAAGAGATTCTTGTCCTTGCCCTCGGCAAACCGTTGAAGTTTGTCTAGTGAGCCCTTTGTCTGGATGCGGTACAAGGTCCAGTCGCTGCTGAAGATATCCCAATTGCCCTTGGTGATTGGGCACATGTCGAGTGCCTCGCACGCAATACCGACGGCGCGTTGCAGATTATCGAGAGCTTTGCCAGAGTACGCAAAATCAGCCCGAGGACCCTTCTTGACGGACTCCCATCCAGCATTCCTCAACAGTTTTGACGCAAGTTCGACATTGCCACGGATGAGAGCGCTTCGCAGTGTCGGCCAGAAGAGGCTGTGGCACGCCGGGCTCGGCCTGTGGTTCATGACGATTTCGTACTGCTCGGGGTAAATGTTGTGATTTTCCTCGATCCATCGGAACAGAACGTAAGGCAGTGGCGGCGCTTCGGTATCGACGGTGCCTTGGTTTGCGAAACGAGTGTGGTGCATCTGAAGCACTAGCTGGGCAACATAGGCAGCCTTCGTGAATGGCTCGCTTTCGGGACCGGGGCCAATCTCGGCAATGTGCTCTCCCTCCGGCATGGGTAAACTGTCGGCAAAGTCGTTCCAGAGGTCCACCAGAGGATAAACAATGTTGGCGAGCGAGACGTCGAGTTGATCGGGGTCCTCCTGCGCACCAATCCCTTCGTTGTAAAGCTGGTTGATCAGGTCTTCCGTCTTCAAAACGACGCCTGACGACTCGTTGATTTGAGCCATGCCCAGTTCCTTGTACAGATCCTTTGCGATTGCGGAGAACTTGAATTCTGTCCGTCTGTTGCCCGATGAGCGACGCATGGACGAGGCACGGAAGATATCCTGGGCTTCCCTGCGCATTCGCTCCGTTGCCGCTGGCGTATTGAGCAGTAAAAGATCCGACTCTTCGCCGCCTATGCCGCCTTCGCCTTCGTCTGAGTAGGCTAGATCCTCATCGTTGCGGGTGCTGTGCCGCATGTTCAGGAATATATCGTCATCGTCCTGGACCTCTTCGTCGTCCGCCTCGGCATCCCCGTCTTCGTCCCCAATATCGGCTTCGAGGTATCGCTCCATCTCCGCGTCGGCGACATCGCGCTCGTCGTACTCCTCATCCTCGTCCTCTTCCTCTTCCTCCGAGCTGTCGGGTATCATATACCTGCCATTCCGGTTATCGTAGGTGATGTCGCTCTTTCCCGCGCCAAGTTCCCGGCTCAGTGCCGATGGCTGTCTCGTCGTGGGTTTGGTGTTCTGCAGAATCGACCGGCCGAGTGGTTGCGCCGAGGCAGAGTCGCTTCTTCCAAAGAGGTTCTTGCTAGGCCCATTTGAACTGGCACCGCCGAAGCCAAAGGGCTTCTGCGCAGTGACGCCTTGCAACAAGGAGCTTCCGAGATAAGACTCGGAGGGAGCACCTTGGGGTGTGAAGGAAGCAGCGGACGAGGGTGGAGGGCCGGCTGGCGTCGTTGATGGGTTTTCGCCGAAGGGATAGTATGACTTCTTCTGCGGAGTTTGACCGGGCGTTGACGGCGGTGAGCTATCGAAGGCTGAGTCGTCGAAGGAGAACTTGTTGGGCATGATTTCGTTGATGGAGTGGGCGACCTCAGGTCACCCGGATGAAGCTAGTCGTCGCAAAGTTGTGTTGATCGGTGGAAGTGAGGTTATCAGGTATTCAGGAGTGCAAAAATTCTATACGTCGCTTTCTTTAGGTGTGCGAAAGTCGTCGAGGCTAATTGGCGTGACTGGTAGGTCGCAGGCGACAAGGCTGAAGAGCTGGGTGGTGGTGTTTGGGCGGACGCGCTTCTGGTCGATAATTTTTGGAGGTTCGCGATGCTTGGCCAGTCAACGCGGAAGAAGCCGACTTCTTGGCCCCACCACCGCACTGGATCTGTCGAGCTCCACTCGCTCTGTGTTTTTAAAGGGGGCCCGAGCTCCCTGGCCCGGTGCCGCTGACACATCCAACCGGCCTCGGGGTGAAGGTGCCTTTGAGAAGAACCATGGATGAATAGCAAAGCTTCCAGGCGTTCTGGAGCAAGCGTCCAAACATCAATTCTTCGTGACCTTGTTGGAGAATTCTTTAAGGTTCACACGTCTCCTCCACAGCCATGCGACTGTGATGCCATTGTGATGTCTCTTTTTCCGGGGTAAGCACACACCATTGAAACCATGAGCTTCCTTGGTTTCCCCTCTTTTTGCTGTCAATCTGTTCTACCATCTCTTCCCATACTTTTCCCAGTCGATCGTTCGATTATCTTTACTTAAGAGGATTGTTCATCCATTCTTTTTTGACTTGTATCTCTCTTCAACAAGTACCTATCCGCGGGCAACTACCTAAGCGTCTCCTTTATCTTATCTAAGCCGCCCCGGAGCTCCCCTCGTCTTCCTCCGTGTCACGGCGTTCTAGCCCGGCATGCCGATTAGATAGGGTAGAGCTGCCAAAGGCAGTAAGAAAACTGATTCGAGCCTCCAGGCCCGGACATAAATCGGGCTCTGGACGTGCGGGCCTAAGAAAAGCGCCGCACTCCTCAACGCCCTCTTGGCAACCACGGAAAGTCATCCCCCAGAAGGCGGGCAGGCAGGCTTGGCCAGACTCAATCGCCGATGGGCTATGCCTGCAAAAATGTGCATTAATAGCACCTCAAAAGCCTAACCCCGACGGCTTAAAGTTTTGGTGTATTGCGTCTTCAAACAATGATAGGCTGCAGGCCCGAAGGTGCGCCGGAGGAGAGGAGAGACTGGAGGGGGGCATAATCCAAAAGGGCGGTTTTTGGTGAGTGTGGAAGCGCTTGGAAGTCCCAGATACGCAGCTGCCCCGCCACCCCCGGCTGGGTGCCCGTACAAGCCGTGATTCGGCCTTCGTTCTCGGGAAGGGAAGCAGTCGCTGCAGTTTCTTCATGATGGTGTCCGTCGGAAAGGCATCCGTTGGTCTCGATTTCTATCTGGCTGCTACCGTAGCTTGTACCTAAGCACGCAGGACCAACGGCCAATGGGGACAACAGGAGAAAGACTTGCAATTGGGTCCTAGCCAACCAGACAACAGGAATCATCCCCAGAACCTCAATCGGCCCAATGACGTACTCGTGTGTCGCTGCTTGGGAATTCCCTTCCACCCGCCTCACCCAAGACTCGTACAAGTCACGGCTGGCGTCAGTAGTGTTTTATCCTCTACTTGGTCAATGACAAGCTGAAGATCTCCGCTTTTTCAATTCGTGGCCGAGTGAGGTGAAGAGAGAAGCCCAAGTCTACCTTACCTCAGAAAGAGACACAGAAAAAGGTACCTCGAGTCTCAGTCCCCGAACCCCCGAGACTCATGGATACTTTCCCCTCCCGAGGGGAAGGTGGGGTTTGGAGATGGTGCCAAAAGACACCCGGCGGCAGTTCTCTCCCCCTCTGCCAGTGCCCAACCTGTATCTTGGACTTCCACCTCGTTGGAATAAATACTCCTACCCTGCCCGGTTATAAATTAAGCTTAGTGTGCCGACTTCCTCCTTCCATCAAGGTTCTCATCGACCATCATCACACAACATGTCTGCCACTGCAGGAAAGGTATGTAATATTCGCGTTCCCACTCCCAAGCACTTTACATTACATCTACATTCCCTGCTCTCTGCGTTTTTCTCCTACCCATTGCGGGGTAGCTTCGACGACCAAGGAGACGACTGAGACGGGAGCCATCTTGACAACCCGAATCCATCCGCTGACCCAATTGATCATCTGCAGACCATCACTTGCAAGGCCGCCGTCGCCTGGGAGGCCGGTAAGCCCTTGAGCATCGAGGATATCGAAGTTGCCCCGCCCAAGGCCCACGAGGTCCGTATCGAAATCTACCACACCGGTGTCTGCCACACAGGTATATAAACCCCCCGCCTGAAGTCTCGGATACAGATCCGAAGAACCGCTCCAAGGATCTGAAAGGCTGATAAACACCCTACTTGGAACAGATGCCTACACTCTCTCCGGCAAGGACCCCGAGGGAGCTTTCCCCATCGTCCTCGGTCATGAGGGCGCCGGTATCGTCGAGTCCGTCGGCGAGGGCGTCACAAACGTAAAGGTCGGCGACCACGTCGTCGCCCTCTACACCCCCGAGTGCCAAGAGTGCAAGTTCTGCAAGTCTGGCAAGACCAACCTCTGCGGCAAGATCCGCGCCACCCAGGGCAAGGGCGTCATGCCCGACGGCACCTCGCGCTTCAAGTGCAAGGGCAAGGACCTGCTTCACTTCATGGGCACCTCCACCTTCTCCCAGTTCACCGTCGTTGCCGACATCTCCGTCGTCGCCGTCCAGCAGGATGCCCCCATGGACCGCACCTGCTTGTTGGGCTGCGGTATCACCACCGGATACGGCGCGGCGAGAATCACCGCCAACGTCCAGGAGGGCGACAACGTTGCCGTCTTTGGTGCCGGCTGTGTCGGTCTCTCTGTCGTTCAGGGTGCCGTCGTGAACAAAGCTGGCAAGATTATCGTCGTTGACGTCAACCCCAACAAGGAGGAGTGGTCGAGAAAGTTCGGCGCGACGGATTTCGTCAACCCCACACAACTCGGAGACCAATCCGTTGTCGACAAGCTCATTGAGCTCACCGACGGCGGCTGCGACTTCACCTTTGACTGCACGGGTAACGTCAGCGTCATGCGCGCTGCTCTCGAGGCTTGCCACAAGGGGTGGGGACAGAGTATCATCATTGGTGTCGCTGCTGCTGGTCAGGAGATCGCCACCCGTCGTAAGTACCACTTGCATACCCTCATTTCGAACTCCCGCCAGAAACTAACCACGTTTCAAAAACAGCGTTCCAGCTCGTCACCGGTCGTGTCTGGAAGGGTTGCGCGTTCGGCGGTGTCAAGGGCCGCTCTCAGCTGCCCGGTCTCGTGCAGGACTACATCAAGGGCGACCTCAAGGTGGACGAGTTCATCACCCACAGGAAGACCCTGGGCGAGATGAACAACGCCTTCGAGACCATGAAGCAAGGCGACTGCATCAGAGCCGTGGTCGACATGCGCAAGTAAGCTTACACACAAAAAACCACGGGCTTTCTGGTTGCACGAACCGTTTTGTGCTGTCTCTTGAAATACAAAAAATACTGATAGTTTAATACAAAAAAAAGTGAAATCGATATCCCAGTACCTCCTCGCGAATCCAAATTGTGAAGCCAGGTGGGCGGGCGTGGTGGTCGTCGTCGACGACGAGGTGGATCCGCTCAGCCTGTCCGTACGCGCAACGTCGCGATATATGTCGATAGTCAAAATGCTTACACCATGTCGTTGAAATTCCATGTCCTCATTTGCTTGAGATGTCTAACTTGTATTCGTGTGTCTTTCCCTTGGCCCTTTGGGTGCTTTTTTCCATTGAGATTCTAGGCCGTCCGTTTGTACAATTCTGGGGACCCGCGGTGGTGACATCCGGCGGCGCGCGGCCCCGATAGTAGTGGGAGTCCCAAAAGTCCGGTGTCCCCCTCCTCGTCCACGGTCATGTACAGGGGGGACCGGGCACATTTCCCATCTGTGTCAGTAGTAGTACGAAGTAAATCTGGGGTACCTCAGCTGTAGGTGAAATCAGCACTAGCTGTCATAATCGCTGGATTCTTCAAAATGTCGGACGAGAGGATTGGGCCTGGCCGAGACTCGAGAGGCTTTGATGCCAAGTCGACCAATGATTGATCCAACAGGATCTGCCAGCAGAGGCCTCTGAAATGTGAGTGCTTTTGCGAGAGGGATTTGGTCAAGATATCTGGCAGAGTCGTAAACTCAGGATGTTCAAAATCCGATCAAACCCAAGCCAGATGACCTCTTCCGCTATTACCCAAGGGTGGTGAGCTGATGATGATGGGCCACGGGCTTGCTCGAAAAGGGGTGCGCCACACAGTACACACCCCATCAAACACCATTGAATCATTAGACGTGTACGGATACGTCTTTGTCTCAATCATTGTCCCATAGATCCGACCGAGACACCTGTTCTCTCTCTCTCTCTCTCTCGGTATGAGGCCTCTCTTGCTGCCACTCTGCTTGCGTTTGTACTACATCCTAATTATTACACGTCATCTGAGAGGGCCACAGCACCGATTGTCCATTGTCCGAACGTCTTTGGGCGAGATTGTCCGCGCCAATTGTCTCGGAAATGTGCGGACACTGTGGAGTATTCAATGTGGTCGTTTGACTGCAGACGCTGGCTAGACTGTCGTAAGGAGTACAGCCGTGGTCCGGGTAGACTTGTTCATTTCTCATCAGTCAGTGGCATGCCTGCTGTCTACTGCTGCCTTCCCCTCCTGGGTTGCTTCTTTGGGGATGAGACGGATGGATGTCAAGCCACAGACCTCCTCAAATAGTTATATTGGTTGAGGAGGAGTGGGACTGGGGAATCGGACGATTTTTATGGCAGAGCGGAACGGGGGGTGGTAAATAGAATGAACCGTGGGGAATCGCACGGGAAACAACATCAAAACCGTCCGGTTCACCGTTTGGCTCGTAATTTTAGGAAATAGTTGTAACTGGGGAAGGCTGAGATTCGTAGGGGTTCCGACCCCCATTGTAAATCAAGATCCGAGTGCATTGATGGCTAATTTTGATGGGCAATCAAGCCTAGACTGGCAATCTCGACATCCGGCGTAGCATCGACTAACACTGTTGGGGGACAACCCAGAAGGTAAGATGGAGAGGGAAGAATGTCGCCGTAGAAGGAAATAGGAGGCGCTGTAAATAAACATAGGACTGCTCCATAACTGAGGATTCCCTAAATCGGATGCTGAGCAAAGGATTGTGTAACTCACATTTTTGACACATGCCTAAAGGCACCGGGCGTTTCACTCCCAAGGGTTTTGCGGAATGCGAGAAATGACACCAAGGGCGGTTTAGCCAGGCTCGCCCATCAGATGCTTTGAGTTGACATTGTGCCAACGCACATGTGTCTCTATTCCCATCTGAACCGTAGAAATCAAGATCCAACGCTTGCTCCAATGATCCAGCGGCAGGCGGGCCTCAAGTGGTTGAGGTGGGGGCTTGCTGGCTCGAAATGCAAGGCGGTCTCGGACCCTCGACAGCTCTGTGAAGTAGGCGGCTATTACTCAACGATGCGAGGTTGGCTGGTCTCGTGAACAGGCGACACCACCTCAGGATGCAATTCCCCCTCAGGGATGATAAGATAAGACGGGCCAGACATGGGTCAAGTCGACAACCGGAGCGCAAGGATCGTCTTCTCGGGGTCTTCGTATCCTTCCATTCGATCCCTCTTCGAGAACAACACCGGACACGAGATAATGGCCGTGGATATCCCGTGTTCGGTATGCGGGTACGACGAGCGAGGATGGACAACGTTGAGCTGCGTTTGTCGACGGGCAGACAGTGTGTCCCAGATATACACCTTTCCCGTAGTATCTTGGCCAGTTCGCTGCATCGAAGATACTCCTCCTGGAGCACATGCTGAAAGCCAATGGCGTCGCTCCCAAGCGCCTGGATGCAGTGGCTGCAGGAAGCCAAGTCCAATACGGGAGGAGGTCGGGTTGCACGACGCTAGACTGGGCGGCACTGCTTGGGGCGACTTGTAGCTAGTCATTCGGTGCCGCATCTGCTATTACAGGGCATCTTTCCCTCCACCTGTCAGAACTCAACTTGTGACTGCGGAAGATCAGGCCAGCCAAAGACAAGGTGCGGTTCGGCATGCGGAAAGATGTTGTTGTAATTGAGGTAGACTTGTTGGACAGCCAGTTGTGCATCTCCGGAGCCGAGCTCTGGCAAAAAGGACAAAGTCATTGCTCCGTCTAAGCTGGACGGACATTGACAATCCCAAACCTGGCCGCACCGCTTGGCTCAGCCGTGTATCCTCCTCATTTGCTGTTCCACCATTTCTCAAGTGATGATGGTCGTTGCAGGCCCACGCGGGGATTACGGGAAGTTGATGTCGCGGAATAAGCTGTTAGGAGTCGCAGCACTGGCATCTTTTGGGTTCGGAACCGAAAATTGCTCACCAGAAGGTCATTGCGTGCGGAAGCCCCGAGACGCTTGAGGACGGTCCTCTTGAGGAACAGTAGAGACGAGGTTGTTCCTTGCAACTGTCGAGAGCAAGGACTTCGGGCCGGTAAGGGATCATAGGACGCTTGTCCTTTGATTAAGATAACTTTACCATGGTTAATCTTGAATCTACCAACACCTCGTTTGCACGTCATTCATCGCCGTTGAAGCAGTGTTAGAGTGGATGGGACGACTAAGACAGGTAGGTCGAACGAATCTACAGCGGCCGAAGCGGGCTTCACTGCTTATCGAAGTGGCATCGAGGAAACTGTCGGCTGTTCTATCAGTTTCGGAACGTTGCGGTAGTCTTTCGGTACCTCATGCGGGGGATGCCGTTGGCGAGAGCGAACAAAGGCCAGCGGCGACGATGGCTTGTGACAGGCGGCTGCGATGCGATTGGAGAGCAGCACCAAGTCGGTCGCCCATCCATCCATCACCAGCCATCTCGGTCCTAAGTTACGAACTGGTGCGGACTGCAGAGTGAGCTGGGATGCCTCCTGCAGCTCGGGCTCCAGCACAAGCCATGATCCATGAGGCCATGCTGCCGCTAACGACTATTGCCATGCCGTGACATGCAATGCCATGTATTGCAGGAGTAGCAGAGCAAACGACCTAGGCTTGTCTTAACTGACAACTGTGGAAGTGTAGGCCTAGCATGGTGCCTGTTCGAGATGAGGAGGATTGGCCGGCTTGACTTGAACAGGCTGAAAGACGGACTAGGCTGCTGAGTTTTGCGGCACAAAACTTCGGTACCCGTCCATCGGCAGTCCTTGGACAATCCGAAGAAATGGAGGAAGGGGTGAGGTGGGCAATGTATCGGTAGATGGAAGGCCGGTGATCTGTACCGATGCAACGGCGAGAAGAGCATCTTGGAGGTTAAAGTGCGAAGTGTTCGCGATAGACGGGCAAGGAGGAGAATGGAGTTGATAGATAAGGAAAGAGAATGGAAGGTTCCTTCGCACCTTTGCAATGTAGGAAGGCACCTGCCTTCCAATTTGGCAGTTGCAGCAATTTCGTGCCTTCCTCGAGGCTGCACTGCTGAGAGTTTCCTTTTAGTTCTTCGTAAACCTCCTTCCTTCCCTTCCGGCGATGATCCTACCTTGCTCAATTGACTTGTATTCGGGAGTTGCAAATCACCACTTATTTTATTTTTTTAAGGTATTTGCCTAAGGTAGCGTGGAAGGCAAGGAGGTTGAACAACCCTCCTTCTTGACTCGTTCCGAGCATCTACTGTGGTAGTCTAACAGGACGGTAGGCCAATCTACATCTCATCTTCTGCACCGTTCAACTCATTCACATCTGCCTTCACCGCGTTGTATCTACCTGACTCAGTCCCAGGAATTCTGTCAAATCATACCCTCCTGCGGTCTGCGTTGCGTCGTTGGCAAGGCCGCATGGATCGAATCACGCCGCCTTGCTGCCACTAGCATTCGAAAAGTCACCTCATTTCCTCAATCACCAAACCACCGCTGACGTACATCACCTTACGCATCCTTGCCTCGATTTTCGAAGCACTCATGGCACTATACCTTGCGCACTTTCAGCTCCCTCGTTCCTATTCAGTCTCACCAGTGAACCCTCGTCAGCCACCGCGCCAGGTTACTTTCGTCCCCAACGCCATCATCCATGGCCATTGGCAGCACTGATCGATAATCTCGACAAGCCATCATAGGCTATTCCGGGGCTGATCCGTCTGGAGTGATCCATTGAGTCGGGACACAAGCAGCCAACGGAGGAATAACTTATACGAATATCCGACGGAACGAGAGACACACGAGAGGCGCGAGGCCCAGTCCGATCCAGTGCAATCCAGTCTACCAGTACCTAATCATCCCGACGTCCATTCACCGCTTTCGGAGCCTCATCAACCGTCAACCAGTGTCATCGGCATTGTCCTGGCGCCCATTTGACACAAATCAGCACTGCCAATTACAGTTTTGAAGCGCCAACGCCAGCGTCAGTACCCGTCCCCGAGCCATCAGCGTCAGCATCGGGCGCCAGCCTGCCTCGCGGCTTGCCCGCCTTCGCCTTGGACTCCCTTCTCCAATCCAGTAAACCCGAGGTGCAAAGCCACCAGAGTCTCCGTACGCCGCTCTCTTGTTTCGCCCACCCGTCAACGCGACCCTGACTCCATCGTGCTTGTCTCCATCAGCGTTGTCTCGACCTCCGCCCCATCGGATCTACCAACCTACGGCTGACTACACCCACCACTCAGTCCTCAATACTGACCACTGACCAACTACATTGAGACCTACCTTCGGTTATACGGAAGGTACCTGGGTACCTCGGACGCACACGTACGCTGTTCACTGCCTGCTCACATCGCAGCAGGGAAACACCTACTGTTCCGGCTGAACAAAGAACAGGGAACCTCGACTCTGGTGAGTCGAGCCTCTTTTTCTTTCCTGTACGGATACCCCCTACCCTGGATTTCTCTAGACTTTCACTTGACCTCACACCCACACGGCTGTGCACCGATATCCGCCGCTTCCACTGCAACTGGAGCCATTACCCTTCCCAACGCATTACTTGACGAGTCGTCGTCGGTGTAATGGTCTGCCGGGCTGGCTGGGGGCCCCAACATCTAGCCCAAGTTTACTCCGTACGGACACCGCATTTCTGCTTCGACCTCGAGTTCCGTATCTCGCGCAAGGCCAAGTACGGATACCTCCTCTCGTCATTGTTCCATTGGATTCTGCATGCGCAAACGGAAACGGCTACCTTAGCACTCTGCGTGGCATGGATGTCACTGGGGACACCGTGGACACCGTGGACCGCAGAATGGTCTGTCTGGCCGTGCATTGCATGGCAGCGCATCGGAGCGCAACTCAGCAGATGTCCATCTAACGCGGGTGAGTGCTTCCACTTGTCTGGCTGAGGAAGAGGAGGAGGAGGGAAGTGTGAGGAGGGCCCTGAGGTGTGTGTGTGTGTGTGTGGTGTTGTGGTCACACCCCCCACCGTCCAAACTGAAGACTTCAGAGTAACTCTCGCTCACTCCCGCAGCCACAACCTCTCTCTTCCCGGCCGTGGAGTTGCAAAGTCCACCCAGAGTGCCAGACTAGCAGGTTGAAGGTGGTGAGGTAAGCCTGGGAACGCCTCGCCTCGTTGCTTGGGTCTCCGTTTTAATCAATCCTGCATTGGCGCCTCCGATGAAGTGTGCCCTGCATGTCCATTTTCCCAATAAATAACAACATAATCCACCCCCCTCCCCAGACCAGACCCAAAGCTCCACCAGCCACCCTGTCCCCTGCTCCATGTCCGTTGTTCCTTGTCTTGTCTTGGTTGTCATTGTGAGCGCTTCTCCCGCCTTCGACCTGGCGCCTGGCTTGCCTGGCTGGACCTGGACCCGGTCCTGCCTCTCTGCTTATTAGATCATCATTGACCGACTGACACAATTCGCCTCCAGTCTTCTTCTATTACTTCTACTCTCACTCATCACCTCTGATTCACTCTCTTCTTCTCTTCCCTCTCTCACTTTTCCCTCATCCCCTCTCGGTCTTCCACACTTACCGCCTCGCCACTCAAGCTGCTGGACCCTGACGAGTCATCATCTGCGATCAAGTCCGACATCATCTCTCGACGCCGCAGCCTACATAAACAACCAACGTTGCTCTCCGACGAACACACCAACACACAAACCGTCTTTCCTCCCAACAACCACCCATCATGCCTCAGAAGAAGATTCGCTGCACTTTCAAAGAGTGCAAGGATGCCGCTCAGCGCATTGTCGGCGACTGCGGGTTCTGCAACGGCCACTTCTGCGGCAAGCACCGCCTCTTAGAGGATCACAAGTGCGACGGCCTGGAAGACGTAAGTTTTACTCCTGGATCAACGTCCTCATGGCTCTTAGGACTTGGTACTGTGTTGCAAGAGGAAAACCTCATTCGCTAACTCAACTGCTCAGTGCAAGAAGCAATCACATGAGCGGAATGCGGCGCAACTCGAGAGCGAGCGCACGCAAGTTATCCGCGGGGTATAATCGGATCGACAACCCCGAGACCGATCCAAACCGCACGCCACCATGGCACTCACGTAGGCACTCACGTAGCCACACATATACGGCAAGATGCCACGAGTTAGCCTACAAGGCCGAAAACAGCAAGGATTACACCATATCAAGAGCTGTCAGGCCAGTTTAGGGCGCAAGGCTCATCTCTTATCGCACGTCCTAGTCATATGGTTGGACCTCTGCACGACACGATGGATCAGTCATCTTCGACACAGTTTTTGCGAGATTTGAAAGCTCGCATTCATAATGCTGCAGCGGTAGCGACGGCGGCGACAACAGCGTTCCTGTTTGGTTTCCGCGTCATTTGCACGATTCAGAGCGGCATCCCGTCTGAATCCTTACACCAATGATGTGTATCATACTTCGGCTTAGGGTAGTTTGGCTTCATACTTCCTCCGCACGGCGTACCGGCGTATAGTTCATTTGGAGCGGCCGCATAGGAGAAGGTTGGCCATCAAATTTTGACAATATTTCAAACCATTTTACTCATTTTCATCAACGTCCAATCCCATCTTCCTCCTTTTTGACAAATGCATGTCCTATGACTAACACGCTCATTGGGAAGTTCCACGCCGTGCCACACTTGGACGCTGTGGCAGTGGCAGTTCCGGCAGCGGAGTAGCCATGAGTCGCCGGGGTCAGTTCGGAGAGTTAACCGCCATTTCAGCCGAATGAAACCACGGACGAACATTACAAAGTACGTTAGAACTCTGACCCTTTTTTACTCCGTCACCTCCTTGTTCCAGAACATCAATGGGAAGAGGAGGGGGCGCGCGGCGGGCAAAGAATTTCTGTTTTCTCTTAGGTCCCCTGCAAGCCGTAGCACGCCGTGCTTCATATGGCCGTTTTCGTCGTCCTCTGACCTCGCGAGTCAGCCACAACTCTTTCCGCCCATCCCCCTCCGCCCACTCCGATTTACCACACGTCACAAATGCTATGGGAAGTGGACGACAATGACGGCACTATGGTCCATGGGGAATTGAGAGCACGGGGCGCGCTGCCCACATACAAGTTACAACGGGGCGAATACCGATTATCCCGGTCTATCTCCGATATCGTATCTCACTTGGAGTCGCCCCCATCATTCTGCCACCGTCTTTCATCTTCTCTCTATTCTCCCGGACCAGCTGACCACACACAGTGTCGGGAGCAACCGGCAGGCACGGCAATGACTCCTTCACTTCTCTTTTCCGCAGGTGCACCTCGAAATTCGGAATTCCTCCGAGTTTGTTCGGGTCCCCCGCTTCTCCACCGACCCCCGAGAACGAACAACAAAAAGGACCCCCCGGCCATTCCGCTGGTCAGTGGTCGCGTGGTTCGATTGCGTTGCCGGCGGACAGCACGTCATTTCTGCGATTTCGCGCCTGCGCTGATGTCGCAAATCTCCGTTTCCGTTCGGAAACCGCAAGATTAATGATCATGAAAATGTGTCCAATTGTTTCGGTTGCGACAAGTGTTGTACATATGGCATCTCTCCCGATCACCGGGATGGGCCACCCCGGCGACTTCTTCGCCGTGCGTCCGTATTCACAACTCCGTTCGGTTCAGTACCTACTGGATCCGATACCAGGTCCGGCTGCCCCGTTTTTTGCATCACAACCGCATCGCGAACGACATCCTCCTCCTCCTTGACAACCTCTTCAGTCTTGATGACTACATCTCCATCCACTTCCTCCTTCACCTCAACCTTGACCTCTTTCATCTTACGCGCTTCATTAACCTTCTTCCTATCAACCGCCTTACACAACCCCTCTAGCCCAAGCTCGCAATCACCGCACTTACGCCCGACAGGAAGGCAGACCGTCTGCCCAAGCCCGACGAGTAACCAGTTGATCTCGCGCCATTTATCCTTGGGAAGCCAGCTCTGCAGCGCGTGCCGCGTCGCCTCGGGCTGCGTCGTCTTGTGCCAGCCCCAGAGGTTCGTGATGCGGTGCACGTGCACGTCCACGCCGATGCCCTCGGTGCGGTCCCATGCTGCGGATAGGCAGAGGTAGGCCATTTTAGGTCCTACGCCAGGCAGGGAGGTGAGGCCTTCGATTGTGTCGGGGATGTCGCTGTTGAATTTGTCGCGGAGGATGATGGCTGTCGCTTTGATGAATCTAGGACGTCCAACGTTAGCGATATTCCGTTTCCTGTTCTCCCACTTACACTCATATACAAAACAGAACCACTCCCCGTGTATACCATCACCAAAAGAAAAAAAGGAAACAAATATACTTTGTCTTATTGTTATGAAACCCCACCGCCCAGATCAACTCATTCAACAACGCAGGCTCCACAGCCAATACATTCTCCAGACACAGCCCCGCCTCCGCGCCCTCTTTGTAGGAAGGCAACTCCGTCATCAACCTCTTCATCGCCACCGCGTTGACGGTATCTTTGGTCTGGCTTGACAGCATGAGCGCAATCAGAATATGGAAGCGCCGGTCGCGCTCCGAGGCGTCGGGGTGGAAGAGGCGCTCGCAGCCCATTGTGTCTACCGCGGCGTTGCGCGCGGGGCCGTGGAGGCGCATTTTGAGAACCGTGTTGTAGATTTCGAGCCAGGAGCTGGGCGGTTCGATTTGGATTGTGGAAGAGGAGGGGGACGAGCCGCGGATTGTGCGGGCTGGTTTGCGGGTTTTGCGGGCTTTTGGAGGGGGTGGTTGGGATGGTGTTGAGGGTTCGATGGGTTCGGTCTTGATTTTGGCTGGTGATGGTGATGTCGCTGCTGCGGTGGCAGTATTCTGGTCGATTCTTTCCTGCCCCTCCTCTTTGACAAGTCGCCTCCGTTTCCTGCTCCGCGGGTTCGGAACCGTGTCTTCAATGTCGGCGACGCCCAGGACTATATCGTGGAGCGCGGCTTCCGTGGCTGTCGATTTGGAATCTGTCGTGGAGGTTGAAGTATACGCGAACCGTGCAAGCGAAGACCGCGTCGTACGGCGGGTTTGTGACGGCTGCTCGTGCTGTGGTGACGATGATGCTGTCGCTGGCGACGACGCTGACGGACGGGCCATCTTGTTGAGGAGGGCTGATGTCTCTTTTGCCAATTTCGAGGTCTTCATTGTGAAGTCGGTATCCGTACCTACCTACCTTATCGCGACGGAGGTGGACATTGAAAGGCTGGCACAAGTGTCAAGAGAGTCCCGAGAACAACACGCTCCTCTCACGTCTTCTCAGCTCGGTTCGATGTAGGTGTATCGACAACCAGACGCGGTTTGTCAAAGAAAAGAAAGCTCCCGTCGTCGACGACGACGACGCAATTGACTTTGCACCCTCTGAACAAAACCCGTCGGCGTAATCGTAAACCCATTGGTCCTCGAGCATCTAAAGGGGGGGCCGCGGCCCCACGGACCACCTGTGACTTGTGATTTTAAGAGCCGGGGGAGGGGGGTGGAAAAGACCCCTGTGGACCACGCCTGTTTCCAGGTCTAGTGCCGCCCGGATAGCCGGGATGGCGCTGCGAGCTTAAGCGAGAAGTCGTGATCCTTGTCGTTATGACGCTCTTATTCTTATGGGCAAAGGCGCGGAGTACTCTGGAGGGAAGATGGAGGCGGGCTCTGCAAGTAAGGTAGAATGTCAGATCTTTTCGGGCCCGTAAGATACTACATATCGTTGTTATTTCTCCCGGGGGGCGGGGGGTTGTGTTCCTTTGCAATGTGTTGTGGGAGAGATGGAAAAACACTGCCCCAACTGGAATAGTCCTTGGAGCTGAAAAGTCCAATAGACAACCGGCAACATCTGTCTAGAATGGAATATAAGTCACTGGAATACCAAAGTACAACCGGTCATACCTGACTGCAATATCGCAAGTGCAAACTGATTGTTCAGACGTGAGTTCGTCAAGGCTGTGTACCTCTTCACTGTAATCTATCACTGAGGTACCAAATACCTGTGATGGAAGAAACATAGGGTTAAACATAATTTATACAGAGGGTAACTTGAACTCTCCGAGAGGAGCAGTATTTCTAATTTCATCGCTTCTCCAACTCCGACTCCAAAACCCAGACATAAACACCCCATCTAGACCGTGAACTCTTCGTTAAGCCAATGCTTGAGCACGACGTGACCCTCGCTAAACGACTGCTTCTCCCAGCGCACAATAATGGCAGCATGGCTGTGCCGGTCCTTGTGGATCCAAACGGGGTACTTGTGCCATCCTACGGAATCGAGGGCCTGAATCATCTGGAACTGGTAGGGCGCCAGGGCGAGAGTAGGCTGCGACGGTACCGACATGCGCCTTTCCCTAGCCAGGAGCTGTGTGGTACTGCGATCCATCTCGACCTCGTCCAGATCCTCCTCTGATTCACTCCCCAGAAACTCTTGGTCTTGCGAACTATTGAGCGTCTCGTACACGTGCTCCACTTCCTCCCGGATCTCCTTCATCCACAGCGGGCCGCGGTATTCGTCAATTGCCACGCCTGCCAGACCCTTCTCGTGCAATTGAATGCGTTTCGATGAACGGACCGTCTGGACCACGGAGCTGAACAAGAACGCAATTATACCGATTGGGACGAAAATCGTAAGGGCGATGGCGAAAGGAACGCGTTTAATCCATTTCCAGCTTGAACCGGCAACAGATGAAAGCGTGGCCGGCTCCGAGACCTTTGGCTTCGGCGCCACGGGGTGGTCCGGGTCGAGAATGACATCCTCGTAGCCGTCTAAGAAATTGGCCTTGATCTTCTCAACGTTGGTGTAAGGATCGGTCTTGGTAATGCCGGTAGTATAGTGCACGGCACTTCTGTCATTCACGATATTGGTGTATAGGGTGTGCCGTTTGAATCGCTTCAGTCCGGCGAGGAAAATGGAGTCAGGATCGGCCAAGACGGCGAGGAGTGGTCGGCCGGTATCGCGGAAGTTGTCGATAGTGAACAGCTGACGGCCGGACATGGACAGGGTACGAGCTCCGAGAACATTCCACAAGTGATTGTGCCATCCCCGGAGTGGTGTGCGGACACCGAGGTGTGGCGTCGCAAATGTCACAAAGTTCTGCCACAGGTTAGTCGCTGTCATCTTGCACAACATCAGGAGGCGGATTTCGTACCATGCATTCTACGGTATCGAGTATGCCCTTCGAGTGAAGCAAGCCAACGGCGTAGCGGGAGACGAGACCTCCGAGCGAGTATCCGACGATACTCAACTTGGTGATCTTGCCGCCCTTTTCCTCAATGAGGCGCAGCTCCTCCTCGATCTCGGCGCACACGCGCTCACCACCACGTTCGATGCCATCGTATGTGAAGGAACCACTGTTCCGCTTCGCAAGCAATAGATGCAACTTGTCGGCGGAGTACTTGGCGCGCAAGCTTTTGGCGATCTGGGCCATGTGGTTGGGGTTACCCCAAAGCTACGGAGCCGAGGCGTTAGTTCAGAAACATTCATGACGTCGTGGGAAAACGGTGCTGCAGATGGTTGCAGATGGGAGGAAAAGACAGGGGAATGAGGTGTAAACGAACCCCATGGACCAGTACGCAGAGATGGTCGGCCTCTGCGGTGCCTCCGGTGTAATCCATTAGATAGTCGTAGGATGAGATCAGGGACCGGTTAATAGAGCGAACAGAAAAGGGTAACAACGTTGAGAAAAGTTGCGATGGAGAACGTCGAAGGGAAGCTCCAGTGGGACGCGCTCCGAGTTAAATTCTCGGGGCGACCACAAGAGTCCCTCCAACGGACAATCCGCGAAGCCCGACCGTGGGGGGGTGTGGGTGGGCGTCTGAAGTCCGCGCAGTGGGCAGTGGACAGCTGCTTGTTGGCGGGTGTTGGAAATTCAATGACACCAACACTGGGGTCCCAACACCTGGGCTCCCGCACGCTGGCGGAGCGGTGTTTGCTGCTTTGCTGCCCGTACGGACACTGAGGTGCGTATTGTGTGTCCCCTGGATTTAAGGGGGAGATAAGGCGGCTTAGCACCACGATTGCTCCGATAGTCTCCTGTGGTGGTGTGCTTCCAGGCGCGATTGGACAAGGTACCGTGCGCCGCGTGGCTTCAGCGGCCTGATGATTCCTCCTGTCTCCTTTGCAGCCTGCAATCACTCGTCCAAGCGGTTCGTTGATTGGATGATGTTTGTTGTTTGTCTGCTAACCTTACTTCGTACTTTACCCTGAGGTAACCACCAAGGGTAAGGTGTCGGTACAGGTAGGGATCGCAGTAGGTACCTGGACTGGAATGGAATGCGCGCACGCGACGTCTCGATTGGGACCTTGCTGATAAAGTGGAGGGAACTGCAGCGTAACGGGTACGAGTTCGCGGCCGTGGTGGGGTGGAATCAGCTTGTCGGGACTGCGATCCGTGACGACACCTCAGGCTGCAAGTCTCTCAGCTTGTGAGTTCTGGGTTGGGTGAGCTCGCAAGATGGTCGATTTTTGGGGAAACAACTCGAGAGCTGGACGAAGGGACGAAAATGGTGCGCGATGGAGAGAGGTAGAGGACCCTGAACTGAGCATGCGCGCCGGCCGCCCACTCGCTGCTAGCAGTCGATAGGGCTGATGCGTGAGAACCCAATCCCAGGATGGAGTTTGGAGTTCATCCACTAGGTACGTCACGGTGATCTCCAGCTTTCGCGAGCGTTTAGTTCGTTTGAGAGAATCGGTTCGTTGTACGACTTTCGTTGGTCCCAGAATTCTCAGATCACAAACTTTGTCGAGGTGGTGGGCATCGAGCGCTTCATTTATAGACAAGATGGAAAAGATGGAATCGCACAGAAGCCAGGTTGGTTTGTGAACCACTCGCTTCATCTTACTCCTTGATAACGATTTCCTCGATAAACAACCCAACACAGCAATGACACTGACAGGACATGTCTCCCGGCCGTACTCAGACTCACACTCTGCACTATGGGGTAGTCACCGCCAATAGCTCCTGTCCAACCGTTGCACCGCGATAGGCAAGTCCATCCTCGAGACCAGGGCTGCCCATGGTTTCGCCCTTCCGCTTGGTGCCACTAGCACTCACCGGGGCGCTGATACCGCAGTCCCGTTATCAGCGGGCAAGAGTAAAATGGCTGGTGGCTTCGTTGGCGGGCGTCCTTTGCCTTTTGACTCTCCTGCTCTGTGTGTCTGCGTGTCTGCGTCACCTTGCCCATGTAAGGAAGGTCCGAAGGCTGCATTCTTATTACTGTGTCTTGTGCTCCATATGAAGTACGAAGTACGGATACTGCGTACACGGTAACTCAAGAACGAGGGGTTGTGGTGGATAAGAGAGGACAGGTTGATCACCAGGCCCATCACATCACATGCGAGACCGTGTCTGTGCAGCCCCGCGCGGATCCGATAAGAGATGTCGGATCTGGCGAGCACCAACAAATGGCAGCACGGCGGGGCTTGGCCAAGCTGGCGTCAAAGGTAGGTACCGAAAATGATGTAATGTGCACGGAGTAGTGCAGTCTGGCAGATTGCAGACGGAGCAGTGTAAGTGGGAGCCTTATCCGTAGTTCACCTTCTGCCATGATGCAAGTATCTCCAAGTTGCTTTGGCGTGGGTGGAAATGCCCGTGTGTCTTTGGCTGATTTGGGGCCTCAAAAAGATGAGACGGTGGACGAAATAGAGTTTACGTACCTGGGACTACCGTGGGCAAGGTTCCTCTAAGAGGGTCCTGGATGGTCCTAGATGGTCAAGGAGGGAGATATCGCGGACCTGCCGATTTCCCCGAATTTCAGGAACAGAAATGCCGGGCTTGTCTTGAAAAGTGACAGATCGATAGCAGACCTGGATGGCCTTGCCCTTTTCGGGTGTTCGTATGCAGGCAGGCCGCAAGAAATGATTGATCAATGATCAATGATGGTTGGCAAACTCTCATCTTGACTCAGGTGGGTGTTGTAACGGCGTCGAAACAACTTTCAACAAGAAAGGGTGCAACCTTCAAGCTCAACTGCAGTCTTCCCTACGTCGTCCATTCGATTGATGAGTTAGATCACTTCTCATTGCGTGTTGCTTTATCTGACCAGAACATGGACGTCTTGGCAACTTTCATCGTTGCGTGCCCTCGTTGCGTGGCAGGGGAAAGTGACGACGCTGAGTGAATGCATTGGAAACTGCAAGATCCAGACCGAACAGGTGGATATGTGTGCCT